GGCATTTGGTTTCGACGTAAGCATCGGTTTCCATGGAGCGGGAGCAAAGTTGTCGGGCTTTCGTTCAAAAAGGAGCTGAGGCTTGGTCATATTGGCGTTCCGGATGACCTTGTTCGTGGACTTGGGCTTCTTGGACTTGTTCGCCTGGGAGAAATTAGCTGAAATACTCCTATTACAGGATATTTGGCATACAGGGTCAGATAAGGGAGGCTCCTTTCTTTTGACAAGCCCAGTATACTCATCCAAGGCTGTGTCGGCCTTCTCGAGCGACGAGTCGACAACATCGACAACGCCCCTCCAGTTCATCTCGATGTCTTCCACATCTTCAAGCTTGGGCGCCTTGACGCCGCACGCCTTACCGGCAGTCTGGAGAAGTTGTGTAGAGAGTTCGAGGATCCGCGAAGTTCGGTCTTCGAGTAGTTGGCCGACGCTAGGGTTGACTGTACGCTGGAAACTTAGGTCTTCGGCAGCGATTCGGTTCACGGTCTTGATTGTGGAAATAAGTGACTTCTGGACACTTTCCTGAAGCGATTTGAAGTCTTGAGATTGCTCCATGTTTGCGACAGGAGATGCACGTTGCGCGTGCAGTTGGTAGCTGTGCCTTATGTCGCGATGCAGTGTTGATTCTAGAAAAATTCCTAGGCTTGGTTGCGCTTATCGATAAGATAAGATTTCAGCCAACACTTTATGGAGCAAGGTAGTCTAGGTTAGTAACATAGTATTTGCTTGAGTAAGAATGAATACCTACAATTAAATGTTCAGAATGCGCTTTTAAGACGCTTTTAAAAGGACATGGGGAATACTTCCTCTCTGTGTTTCTATAGGTCATGTATTTTAGTAAAGAAGTCGCGGTTATGCCTCATGTATTTACTTATAAAGAAAGACAGGTCTAACTTCCACGCTTTGGCTCACGGAAGGCTCTCTTTACCACAAGACGAAAGCTTGGTAAGGTCAAGAGACCGGAATCTAAGATTGACCCTGATACCTACTGGTATCTAATAGATATCTACAAGCACATAGTTATTGTGTGGACGAGAAAAATGCAGAAAGGAGGATTCTTTCATTTATATGGGTCTATACTAAACGCCTAAGCGTAGGATATTTGATTCTAACCTTGCCTACGATCACCTCCAGACCTAGATATCATTGTAGCATGCCTGTAAGTTATTGATTGCTATGGGTCACCAAACTTTCTTTATGGTCGAGCAGACACCATGGGAGACAAGACCGCAGAGGTGTAGTCGGCCGTTTCCAGCAGCAGCGCTCTGGGGAGGTTTACCGAAAGCAGCTCCATTCCCAGGCACTCGTATATGGGATCGATAATACCTACGTTAGGTACTGAAGCAATTTAGTTGCGGCTACCGGGCCGACGGCTATGCACACCTCGCCGATTTGAGACTGGACGGAGGGTTGTAACCCAGTGACGAGTATGGATCCAGTCGCTCATCAATTCACTTGTTTTCGTGCTTTATCTTTGTAGGTGACAGAGATTCAGGACGTTCTGGTCCGGCCGATGAATCCGATCAAGAGAAAAACATGGCCTTGTCCTTATTATCAATTGGTTGATTGGCCTGCGTGTAATGATAAAGCCCACTTAGTGAAAACTAGCATCAGACAATCTAGTACTTAGGCCTTGTAATCTTTATCTGATGGAACCCGGACGAAGAGTGCCCTGGATGCGTCACTTTTCCATCACTATAGTTGGGTAGGCTGGCTGTTTGTAGAGTTCCAGAATCAAGCTTTATATCACAGATGTGGAGACTTGCACACTCTTGACCGGTTTTTGTCATCTGGCGATTACCTTACCTAGTCTTGATACCTTAAAATAGAGAACAAAGGCAATGCCCATAATGCCCGCATAGTGGCCGATGAATCGATCCGTCTCCGGAAACACCTCCGGGCTGCCTCCAGTTCAAGCCATTTAGACCTGTAGAAGCACCAATAGGCAGATGCATAGAAGTGGAGAGCTGCTTTGCACCCAGACCTCTGGATTCGTTACTGGCACTCTTCTCATTGTTACAGTCCACGAAAGTCGATACCTCGTGGGTGATTGACAGGCGTAGGATGGTGTTGGATGCCCAGTGGTGTTTTCCTTTGGCGATAGCGACCCGGCCCGTGTAAATGCCACCCTCCACTCCATCCTCATTTCGAAGAAAACGGCCCGGATCTCGATTCTCGGCGAATAGAGGACAACCGGGAAGCGGAAGCGGAAGCTATCGGCTTGCGGGATAATACCTTATTGAGGGAAAAGAAACATGAGACATTATATATTGCAATGAGATCGGATCAGGTATGTGGTGATTCAAATAGAGAGGAGCACGAGAGAAGAAGTTGTTGATATCATGTTGTTCGTCACCCATGTTACTACGAATTTGCACATGTTAAGGCGAATCGTAAGTTTGTTAGCGCACTCTCAAACTCATCAACTAAAGATATTCTGAAAATCAGGCACAAGGTAAATAATAAGGCCGTTCGTTATAGTACAACCCAGTACCTTCTTGGGTACCTTAGGTACCTAAAGGTAACCAAGTACCTAGAGTCTAGAGGTGAATGGCTGGCTGGTTGCAGGTAGGTGTCAAATGCCCCTCACTTGCCATTTCTTTGCATCTTATGCCCCTCAGCCCCATCCATGCTTCTGTCCAGCTTCTGCGGTATTCTTCTGTTGTCTTATTAGGGCCTCATGTCTCCCTTCTAACCTCTCAACTTCTCATTCATAGCACGATCAGACTGATATTCGCTAGATCGACTTGCTTTACTGCTCCTCAACAAATGCACAACTAACTTTTGATATTGACTGAAAGTCCTCGTTTCGTCAATAATTCACCGTCTCCGCTTACCACGCTCTTCTCCAATAAATCGACTGACCTTACGCGCAATAGCGTCATCGTTTCGCTACTCAACAGCCCAAAGCTCCTTACGCCAACTCCACTACTGGGGATCTACGCCTCTCGGCTCTGCGCCAGCTGCCAGGTCAATTCCCTGCCCCTCCACAGACCATCGACCATCGACCATCGACCACAAAGAACCGCGACGAGGCCGACTACACTCCTACTTTTTTCTCAAGTTATCCTTTTCGATCTTTCAATTCTAAAATTTCCCTGTTTCAGATTATTTCTTGCAATACAGTCATTATGCCCGGTGCTGTTGACCAGAACGGCCAGGCCGCCCCAGGCCGCCTATTGCTGCTCTCCAATCGGTTGCCCATTACAATTAAGCGATCTGAGGATGGTAGCTATTCATTTTCCATGTCTTCTGGAGGTCTTGTCACTGGTCTCAGTGGCCTCAGCAAGACTACCAGCTTCCAGTGGTATGGCTGGCCAGGTCTCGAGGTCCCCGACAACGAAGTCGAGGGTATGAAGCAACGACTGAAAGACGAGTACGGCGCGCACCCAGTTTTTATCGACGATGAGCTTGCCGACAGACACTACAACGGGTTTTCTAGTAAGTAACACAAATTTGACGCTATAGGAATTCATTTCTGACATCATACTTGCAGACTCGATTCTTTGGCCTCTTTTCCATTACCACCCTGGTGAGATTACATTCGACGAGTCCGCTTGGGCCGCATATCAAGAAGTCAACCGCCTCTTCGCCAAGACCGTTATCAAGGACGTGCAGGATGGTGACCTTATTTGGGTTCATGACTACCATCTGATGCTCCTCCCTCAAATGCTCCGCGAGGAGATCGGCGAATCGAAAAAGAATGTCAAGATTGGCTTCTTCCTCCATACACCATTCCCCAGTAGTGAAATTTACAGAATCCTGCCTGTAAGAGAAGCACTTCTTACTGGACTTCTTGACTGCGACCTTATCGGATTCCATACATACGACTACGCCCGTCACTTCCTTAGCAGTTGCTCCCGCATTCTCGAGTGTCCCACGACCCCCAATGGTGTCGATTGGAATGGTCGTTTTGTGACAGTCGGTGCCTTCCCCATTGGAATCGATCCCGACAACTTCGTTGAAGGATTGAAGAAGCCAAAGGTCCAGGAACGTATCGCTGCTCTCAGCCGAAAGTTCGAAGGTGTCAAGCTCGTCGTTGGAGTCGATCGCTTGGATTACATCAAGGGTGTTCCTCAGAAACTGCACGCTCTTGAAGTGTTCCTGACCGAGCATCCGGAATGGATTGGTAAGATCGTTCTGGTTCAGGTTGCTGTTCCTTCGCGACAAGACGTCGAAGAGTATCAGAATCTTCGTGCCGTGGTTAACGAACTGGTTGGCCGTATCAACGGAAAGTTTGGTACCATTGAGTTTATGCCCATTCACTTTCTCCATCAATCCGTCACTTTTGACGAGCTTACTGCCCTGTACGCCGTATCTGACGTCTGTTTGGTCTCATCCACTCGAGACGGTATGAACTTGGTATCTTACGAATACATTGCGACACAACAGAAGAACCACGGCGTCATGATTCTGAGCGAATTCACAGGTGCCGCCCAATCACTCAATGGTAGTCTCATCGTCAATCCTTGGAACACGGAGGAGCTTGCCAATGCTTTGCATGACGCCGTTACCATGAGCCCTGAACAACGTGAGGCCAACTACAAAAAGCTCGAACGTTATGTTTTCAAGTATACAAGTGCTTGGTGGGGTGCCAGTTTTGTCTCTGAGATGACTCGTCTTAGTACTGAGGGTTCTCAGCCCAAGACTCTGCGCAACGTCTCTGGGGCCGTGATTGGACTGGAACAGAAAGCTCAACAGGCTGTCGCTGATCTTGAGAAGAAAGCCGAGGAACTATTAACTATCGACGAGAAGAAAGAAACCAATTCAAGTGCAGGGCCTTCTCAATAAAAGTTGTATTCTAGCAGGGAAGGATATTGATATGCAAGAACGAGTTCACGGTTAGGGTTCAAGCGGTCATGATTTGGGATCTCATTATAAACTGTTTTTCTTTTGCCATAATAAAAAAAATCTTGAAGTAAAGTTATCAATTTTTTTTCTGGATGTCTCGACTAGATTGAAATGTTCATTAGATCTGAATTCTTGTCATTGAATCATGTGCATACGTGAGATACTTCTATTAATTGGACTCTTTTCATTTCTGCCTATGGTAGCTCCTGAGTATCAAAACCGTGGGCGACTGTAAGCTACAGTAGATAAAGCTATGGTAGGTGTGAAGAAGACAAATTGCGTTGATTGCGATGCAAATGCATCAGCAGATGGTATCTAAACAAAAAGAGAGCATACGGGTTATAAAACCCATACGTTACATACAAATTCCCAAGTCCACCAAAAAACTCCGTCTCGGATCTCATCATGAAGTCGTAACACTTCGAAGCACTTCCCTAATTACGCAAGTGACACTCTCTTCCACTTAATAAGGCGCATTGACAATATCGTCCTTTCCAAGTTTGTATCGGCCACTGTCTCGGGTCCCGATGCGTCCAGAACCTCGACGGGAATCACTCAGTCGAACATTACCAATGATGCTCTCGCGGGTAGGCTTCCTTAGACTTTGTTTGGCTACCATGTTGACTTCGTTGGGCAAAGCAACAATGACGTTTTTGTCCGAGCCGTATTTGAAGTCGTCAGCCTTGACCTCCTCTTCATAACGCTTAATTTTATAAGCCGCCTTCATTCCTCGAAGGATTCGCTTCAGGTTCCATTCGATGATGTAGGGACCGGTTGCAGTGATGATGCTTGTCTCCTCTGCACCTTCTCCAGTATTGAACTTAGCAGGAGTAAAATCAACTGGTTTCCCAGTCTCATGGTAGAACTGGGCTACATGCTCAGGGGTCAGAGCGAGTCGTCGAGGATGTGGCTTATCGTTGGCAGCGAAGGGCTTCTCGAAACCGAGCTTGCCCTCGTTCTTTCCAGACTTCTGCTGGGCGTCAACAAGCAGGATGTAGTTCTTGGTTGTTCCCAAGATCCACCGGCCATCGGCAGAAACGTCAATACCAGTAATGGGGTCACCAAGAGCAGGAAGCTGTGTCTTGGCTCGAATGCCGAGACGGTCGAAGAGACGAATATCGCCCTTGTTGCTGGCAACAGCGATGTAGCCCTTTTCAGTAGTTGCGAGGGCAGAGAAGTCGTTCTTCGAGGCATATTGCTTCATATCGGCATCAACAAGCTTGTTGCCGGACAGACGGGGATCAACTCGGTAAAGAGCGTTGTTTGAGACACCCAGGAAGGTCTGTTCAGAGGTCATCTGAGCAAACTTGTTCTCGGGGGCAAATGTGACAACTGGGATGTCATCGTGCACGTTCCATTCATCCACGACCTTTCCATACTCAAGGTCCATACGGTAGAGCTTGTTAGGATCTATCTCATTCTGTAAGATGAGATCTCGATCCTCGCTGTGCAGCATGACTTTCTTCGGGTTCATGAGCTTGCCCGAAGGAGTTGTGACCTTGGAAATGTTCGTGGAGAATTCGAGGTGATTGTTGGGTGTATGTTTGAATACACCAATCTTGGAGCCGCGAACGACGAATGAGCGGTCATGCTTGTAACCAACAGCCAACTGTGAGTTGACCTCACCATCAGCGTTCTTGGGGAAGCTACTATCGTTCTCCTCATCGGTGTCGTACTCCTCCTCTTGCGCACGATCATCCTCCAGCTCTTCCTCCTCCTCTTCCTCCTCCTCCTCCTCCTCTGTGGAGGGCGCATCTTCCATAGTTAGGTCGCCGAATGCGTCAAGAACATATTCACGTTCCTTATCTTGCATCTTCGTCCACTTGGTCTCGTTTAGCTTCTCCCAAATGGCCTGCATAATTGCTTCTTGGAACTTTTCCAGGGTGGGTTGATCCTTAAATCTGAGAAGCCATGATCGTGCAGTTCCATCACTGCTGAAATGGTTGAAGACGAAGGAGAGATATTCAAAATCAAAGACGGGGTTGAAGTCAGCGACGACAGGAGTACCCAGATACGCTTTATCGTTCGACTCGATCTGGAGCCAGTATTCCCATTTTCCAACTTCTGACACTCGAGCAATGACAGAATCATCAACGAGAGCAAAATGACCGGGCTGAGGGTCAAAAACATGGAGTTCAGCCACAACAGCTGCATATATCTCTAGAGCCTCGGGAGGGTTGCTAGCGTCCGGACCAGTCAGGACGGGGGCTTCGATTTCCTGCTCTGGGACGAAGGCAGGCTCACGCTTAGCAGCGGAATTGGCTTGGTTCTTAGATAACATATCGTCGACAGACTCGATAGACCGAGCCAAAGTTGGGCTATGCAGGGGGCTAGCAGGTGGTATCGGGTCCTCTTCCTCAAATTCGAACTGCTGAAGGTCGGACGCAGTTGCTGTAGAATGCGATTTGCGGTACTTGCGCTCGTATTGGCACTGCTGAGCAACTTGCACAAACTGCTGTACCTGAGACGATGTAACAGAAGGGTCGCAAACGAACTGGAAGAGGTCACCAGTATCGCCGCTTAAATCCTTCCAAGCAAGAACTTTGTCACCACTCTCTCGAATTTCGGAACGAAAAGACAGAGCTTCGTCGAGCAGGAAGGTCTTCTCGTCTTTCTCGGATGCGAGGGCGTCGATTTCGGCGTCCTCACCCTCTTCTTCGGCAAGGAGCTCTGCCTCACCTTCTTCAAAGACGCGTTGAACAACAAGCTGGTATTGGAATTCCTGATTTGTGCGTCGAATGCGGATAGCCGAGTCTCGAAAGATGAGTTCGGAATAGCCCTTAGGAGATAAAGGTCGAACAAGGTAAAGCTGTCCCTGTGGAAGCTCGATCAATGCCTCCTGCGTGCTTGAACCGAATATCAGTTTGCCAACTTAAGAGCAATAGTGTTAGCAGACTTGCACGAGAATGAAGACGGTGCAGCGAAGGGGGGAGATGCAAAAGTGGTGCAAGAGATAAGGCACAAAGCAGCGAGGCTGTTGGTCTTTATGCTCAAGATGTAAATGTTGGATTTAAGGTGGGAGCAGGGATGATGCGGGGCAGTCACTTACTTCCTCGTAAGGCGAACATGCTGACCCTGGTCTTTGAAGAGAGGAAAGAAAGAATAGGACAATAAGATAGAAAGAAAGTGAGCGATGCGACACTTGCACGGTTGTTGTTGTTGTTGTTGGCGCTGAATCAGGGAGTCGTGGCGTGAGTATTTCCCTAAGTTTAGGATGGAAGATTAGAAAAAGAGGAAGGCGAAAGCCCACGATGCTATCGGTGCAAGGCGAACAAATAAAAAAGTTGTGACGTGACAAGACACCAGAGCAGGAACAGGCAGAATCAGGCCGAGCACCTTCCCATTTGCTCACTAGGTATGTCTTTAGGCACGGTAGGTAGCTCCCGCCTTGTCTTGTGACAGCAAAAAGGAAATGGAAATTGCACCAAAGGCGGGATTGACTGGACCAACAGCTTAGGCAGGATCAAGCTTGAACGTGTAAAGGAGGGCGACGTGCGTCATAACCGGGAGGAAGTACTGTGGGAGAAAAAGACCGTGGTTGCCTCCCGCCTTTTTTCTTTGTGTACTTTGAAGAAACCTTGGTTGGAGGGGTGAAGAAGGAGGGGTCATTGGTTTTTGCCACAACTGACGTGCGCCACTGAGGCTAGTGGACCAGGGGTATTTGGGAATAGTTACAAGTGAAGAAGATTGGTTGGCTCAGCGAGGCGAGAAAACTCGAGACCTCCATCCTAAGCGACAAAAAGGCCTAGGTAAGATCAGTGTGAAGATAGGGGGCCTTTAGACTAGTTATCTTTTGCATCCTTGTTTAGGGTCAGAAGTTTTGTCTTGTTCTTCAGCTTTGGCCGTGGTATCTTCACAAGAATAACAAGATTCTTTGTTGAATTATTCAACATACATGATCATGTGAAGACAGGTGATTGGATTGCGATTCGTAACCAATATTGGTTGGCTACGCCAACTGCTAGTAATAGTGATAAGATGTATCTGAAATCAACATCAACAAACACACAACAAGAGTACACCATGCAATTTCCCGTGAATGCGCCTTCCAGCCAGTTGTCCCAAAATAGCAAATGATTCTGGCACATAAAAGATATCCAAAAATGATTAGGCAAATGTGTATATCCTTGCTTCGATCAAAGTTCACCTTCAGCCTGAACATGAATGCCCTCCGCCTCTTCCTCAACGGCTTCATATCCTATCCATTCATTCGGTGGTTCGGGGCGAGAAATACCAGCAAACTTATCCACAGCCAGCCGAGCCACGTTCTTGCCCATCAAAGCACTGGTCTCCATGCATGACACGAAGCTCTCAATACCAGACGTGTAGTATACACCCTCGCCAATAAGAGGGTCCTCAAATGTGACACGAGGAAGCTCAACGGGGTAAGAGTTGAATAAATGAGGATGATACCAAGATATAGGCTCGAATGTGCTGGTACCATTCTGTACCTTACCAGAAATTACAGAGTCTGGAATATCGGTGCCCAAAAGACGTGTGAGGAAGTCGGCAGTGATGGGTGTGGGCGAGAAGATCTTATAGACACGCTCCTTCTGACCTGTCTTAGGATTGACAACGTATTTCAATGTACTAACAGAGTAGAAGCCGGTACGTCCAACTCCCTCAGGTCCTTTCCTTGGTTCTTCGTCTTCACCAAGAGTAGTGTAGACAGTAGCGGGCGCTTTGCTTCCGGGCTTCAAGCCAAAGAATTCGGGACTAAGCCCCAAAGGTGATGCGAAGAGTGTAACGTGGAGTTTAGTATAGGGGATCTCATCGATTTTGTGATCGAGGACACCCTCTCCAGCCTTTATGTTACTGAACTGCCAGGGGTTGGCGATGATGATATTGTCAAACTCGACATCATATTCTTTTGCAGTGTCGTCCTTTGAGCTAGCATCTTTCGTTGTGATGACATACCTTGGTGAAGATGACTGTGTTTTCCTCTGAACCTTTTCGATTGAAGCCACGGTCGTGTTGCGAGAGATAGAAGCTCCGCTCTCTATCACCATATGCTCAAAGATACGCCAGTTACCGCTTTCCACAGACATGGCGTTGTCGGTTGCCAACGAAACCTATCGTAGTCAGGTAAAAAGCGTGCAAGGGTCCACGTCTTCCACTCACTAGAGTCTCCAGACCATGGATGTAAGCCAGGTTTGAAGCATAGTTGACCCGGGTGCCAACCTGTAAGATCTCGCGGGCGAAACGAGGATCGATTTCCTGTCCAGTTAGCCAATACCCATTTTCAATTGAACGGTTTGAACTTACGTTTTGCTTCAACATCTGTTCTCCCGTTATACTTGTAACCTCATTCCAACCCAATTGTTCGGCTCTCTGCGTAAGCGACTTGAAAGGAAAGTAAGGGGCTTCATATAGCTTGAGAAAATGTTCGATCATGGCATCCACGATTTGTTTGGACTTGTAGGGTGCGAGCCCATACCTCCAAAACATCTTGGCCAGATCCCACCATCCCCAAGATCCCTCGGTCGTCTGGAAGACGAACTCGTAGCCATCCCATATAACAGTCATATCATCCTTCTGAAGGCGGTGGGGCTCGCTCACTGGGAGATGGTAGCGTTCACTGGCGTTGGCAAGAATATGATTGGCGCCAACAAAGATAGACGCGCCGAGCTCGATGGGCAGAGAAGGGTCATTATACGCGGGGACCGTCAATGTACGGCCTCCGATGCGATCCGTCTTCTCAAAGATAGTGATATTGATGGCAATATCTTCTTCTATAGCATACTGCCACAGATGGAAGGCTGCTGACGACCCAGCAGCTCCAGCTCCTACAGCCCAAGTTAGTAAATGTCAAGCCTGATATAGGGATTGACCGGCAATATCGTGAAGGAATACATGTCTGTAGTACTTTGTGTTCTTAACATGTCACTCTAGAATAACGAAATCAGGTACGAACCGATGATGGCGACGTTGTGAACATCTTCTGCTCTACACAGGACACTTGCGAGGGCGCCGAGGAGAGCCAAAGGCAACGTACGGGCTAAAATCATCATATTTCACGATTACGAGATAAATATGTTGTATCGACGTCGCCTCGCGTACTTTGATGGGAGGAGATCGAATGATGACCCGAGTGAGACGTGAGCGTCCATTCACGTGACGCACAAGCTGTTGGCTCTAGGAAAGGGCAGATACATAACGTGTCCGGGCAACTCTAAAGCTATATGGAAACAAGCAGTATCTGATAGGTAGTGTCCTCCGTACAAAGGAACGAGGAGCAGTGTTGGGATGATTGACAACACTAGCAGAACAGTCGCATTGTTTCGAAGTATGGGTTTAGTGTATAATGGATGGCATTGTTCACAAGTTAAGGCGCGCTATCAGTATCAGCTCTCGACCAAAATCAATCAGCGTGCACAAGAAGTAACGTGCAAGGGGCATCAAGACATCGGAATAGTGTTTGAACAATAAATTTGGTATCTCAATGTGACACTAAGTTCCCTAATGATTCATCCTTGTAGAATTCCAGAAAATAATTCATACCCAGGCCCACGCCGTTTTGCACAACCCTCCATCTCATAACAAAGATTACCCAGGGAATCATTATCCATCCTCTCTAAACGCCAAGCTAAATGCAAAATTATGCAACGTTCCCGTGAAAACAGACTGATGGTCAAAAAGATTACGCAAGACTGTACAAATATTTTTTTTTGGCCTTCCGTATTCGTAAAATCCATAACTCCTAATCACGTCGTGAAATATGAAATTTGTGATAATTATGCTGAAGCAACAGATGAAGATCAAGCACTATCCTCGTTGCTACTACTGTAACCACTTTCGATTGCTCCAGCAGTATCAACAGAACTCTCATCATGTGAAAGCGCCGGGTTGGCGCTAGTACTCTTGCTTGCACCCCGAGCAGTGCCAGCGGCCGCAGCAGCGCTACTGGTACGGCGTGCGGCTTGTCGGGGTCGATTTGGCAACGCCTTCGGGTCTCGATTGACGTCGTAAATATTCTGGTTCGGCGAGTCATCGGGTTCGTCACCTTCTTCGTCGCCACTGCTAAGGTCAACGCCATCAGGATATCCGTCTGAATGGCGTTGCACCGTCCGCTGTCCAATAAGATCTCTCAGCGACGGAGACATCTCGACATCATCTGAATCATCATAATCGCCATCGGCTGTAGACTCGGTGGGGCTGAACGGTGGGAAGAATATTGCGGGGGGAGGTAGCGAAACTGGTGTCAGCCGCTTGATACGGCCTGACATGTATTCAATCTCAATGGGAAGAGAATGCGTAGCAGGGAGCGATTTTGAAGCTCCCAAGACCGGTGAGGAAGTTGACATAGTCGCCAACCGACGGATGATACCATCCGTGTTTTCACTGACTCTTCTACCACCAACTCGTGGTAACGCCGACAAATCGTCTTGCTTGGGTCGCTTGGTTGAAACAACAACCATGAAATGATCTTCAGGTAAGACTCCTCCTAAGCCGCAGGGCTCGAGGGGAAAGTGTTGCATGTACTGCGGCTTATCAGACCATGTGATGTCCAGATCAACCTCGCTGACGTCATCAGCATCGTCGGTCAGGCTTGGTGGATCTTCACTATCAACATCCATCGCTGTACTTTGTTGACTAGACAAGGGTCCACGATCGGTCAACGGCCGATAGTTGATGAGAGAACCAGAGTCTGTTCGTCGGAGAGGTGACGGAGGAACCTTGAAGTTACCTTGGTCTGTTTGAGTCTGACCAGAAGCGCGCATCTGCGTCGTTGGCGACATATCTCCGGGATCTCCAGATAAATCCGTACAAAATGGGGCACCGCTATAATAGATGATGGCACCGTCATGGCGACGCTTCCTGCGACTGGAGGCTCCTGAGCCGCTCAGCCCCCATCTCGACTCACCAATATTACTTTCCTCTGGGGGGCCAAAGGATGAAACAGTCTCATCAAGTGATGTCTGGCCGCCCGAGGAATCCTGCTGGGCAAACAAGGGCTTGTAATGGAAGCTTTCGGATGGAGCACAAAGCTGCGGGTCAAAATTCAAGCCATTCTTGCTTGAGCTTCCAGACTGGAACTCATCGCCTGTTGAACGCCCAGTTTTCTGACGCTTGCGCTTGTTTTCCGTTCCGTCCTCGGTATCATCGGTAGATGGACTCTTTTGGGAATTATATCCAGAGCTGTCGCTGCTGAACCTTGTTCCCTCTGTTCCACCTCGCCATCGAATCTTTCGGCCATCGGGCGACAGCTGAAATTTTGTGCTTATCCCCGAAACAGCTGAACGGACAAAGTCAGGCGTCACATTGATCATATGAAGTTGAGCCAAATTGCACAACAAATTTAGATAAACCCATCCCTCGGCATCGGGGTGCACATCGTGGCTATGTTGTTCGGCTAGTAGCTCCGGAGGTACCAGGCCGAGATGGCGAATATAATCCATGTTTTCAGCTGGTACCTGGGCGCGGTCAGGGTCTAAATCTCGGGGTCGTGTGGCCCGTTGCTCGGGTAAGGTCGTCATTGGCGGAGTAGTGTTTGTGCCTGACCCTGTACTGTGGGCATTACCACCGGACTCGGTATTGTCGCCATTGGAATTAGAAGCAGAGGCATTGTCAGCAGATCGACTCTTTTTACCAGAGTGACCAGATTGCTGCTCAATGGGAAGAATTCGAGCTTCTCTCGAGGGCTCTTTACCGCTGGTTTGTAATGCTGGTGGTTCGTGAATAGAATTTGATGTGTTTGAAACAGTGGGTTGTGTCTCCGCGACAACTGGTGCTAGAGCGGCAGAACTTCCACTAGGCAACACGGGCTGCTTCTTCACCACGTGGCGCCCACCGATCTTTCCTGTGAATAATTGTTCCAGTCGGCGAACAACAAGCTTCTTCCTCTCTTTCTCCGTCATAATCATGTGTCGTGGGTACAACCCTTCGGGAATGTCACGGAGATAATTTTCAACAGCCTCAGACGACTTAGCCTGGGAGCCCATGTTGGGACGGCTCAAAGACGTCCCTGAGTTGGCGCCGGTTGACATTGAGGCGTAAGCAGAGTCGGCCGGGCGGAAATTGGACCCTGAAGAAGATGAGGCATGTTTCGATCCAGATCCAGAATACATATTATCGCGAGTAGCGTGTCGGGACTTCTTTTTGTTCTGTGTTGATGACGCATTGGGAGACCCTTCAAGGCTTGCAGCGAAATCTCGGAGCGTCGCCTCCAACTCTCTTTTCTTCTTTTTCGGCAATCCGTGAACCTTGATTTCGAAGAGCTTCTCCTTTCGAAGCATATCGGGACCGGTGTTCTTGTATCGCTTGAGCTCTTCCCTCAGCTTTTGGATCTCTACCGTGAGATCATCGATAACACTTCTGTAATCGTCTGCACTGCTGCTGTGTGCCGTGGTGAGCTTAGGAGGGGCGAGTTGGTGGTTATAGTAAGTTTTCTCTTCATTCGAAGAATCGGATTCTTTTTGAAAGAAAGGGGGGTCGACTGCCAACCCAATTAGTCTCCTACTCAACTCAATTCCCAACACTGATTCTTACCTTCCATGACGTTGCTGTCGAAAGTTGCCGTTGGGTTTTGATTTGCCTGGTCAAACCATGTATTTGGGTCGCTCTGGCCAGTTTCATGACTATCGCCCGATGAGTTTCGTCGAGGTGTTGATGTCGTGGTTGTCTTGACAGCGGGCCCTGAGCCTTGGCCGTCCTTGATTGATGCATCTCGTGCTAATCGGTGATGGCGCAGGGTGACAGAGTTCGCAGGAGAGGTGCGCCGAGGGAGAGGATGGCCAGTCTTGGACGAAGACGACGGAGGTTGCATTCCGTGGGAAGTGGTTTCGTTAAGTGGCATTATCTTTCATAAAATTGATAGATGGTTTAGCATTTCCTGAAGTATGAAGCAGCAAGCATGTCGTGGAAAATAGTCGCCGAGAAGGGTTCTGGTTTAGACCTAAGGGTCCGACGATCCGTGACGTAGGGGGCCTGGAAGCACCTTGCAGCGGGCTGAGAGCCTGAGCGTCAGGGGAATCGTTAGCACAATCCATAGGTTTAGGGAACAACGGGATGATGGAGGGTATGAGCAATGAAGGTTCTCGCAAACAACAGAGACGAGCTCCTATTGGCTGCGGGGTGAGGACCGATCGATCGATCGAGGCTTCAACGCCAAATGACGAAAAATGATGAGATGCGTTGTCCCAGTGGGGGAAATACCGGGTGTTTCTGGGACACTTACCGTTTCCAAAAACTCCTTCAGAGCAGTTAGAGCCTTTTTGTATGGTCCTCTGCCAAATCTCCAAATCTTCTCCGATCCAACGAGTTGTTGATTGATGCTTTTCCGAATAGCGTCGTTGGATATGCATGGGTATTGAGCTGGCGCGAATCAGAGCTTCTCTCCACAGTCAAGCCGGGCCACAAACAATCGTTGCATCCGCCCGAAAAAGCGTCGCAGTCCTTCAATGGTGAACCTTGGTCGAACGAGGAAGCTCTTGGAAGCTTGATTTATTGACTGGAGAAATCGGCGTATTCGAGGTTGCTAATTCTCGTCGATTCCCTAGTATGTTTTGTACCAGGATTGTAATAATGCAATTTTTTGTGATTTAGTGCTTCTTGCAGTTCGCTGCTTAATTGTGAATTTCAGATCGTTGTGGAATTTACTGGAGTCAGTGGCTCGTAAGCGTGTTCGCATGAGGTGATGATACGCAATGCTGGTCAAGTAAAGAAGATGCCTCTTCGCGTGCCGTGCGGTGAAGGCAATAAGCCTTGTGCGGTGTGGAAGTAACAGAGAGACAATACAGCTTGAAGGGCTGAAATGTGTTGGAAAGAAGAGAGAGCAAGCGGTGGAGTCTGGTATTCCAATGGTCGATATATATGAACAGACCAGGGTGGCACCAAGGTGGCACTGAAGCCGATGGGGTGTGAAGAAGCTGGAATTAGGAGAAGCAATTGCTTACTACCCTTCCACGGAGCTGAGGGGGGCTCCGGAGAGGTCTGGGCGAGTGGAAGGGATCGAGGTTGGTGAGTTCAAGCTGAGCCTGAAGAAGCTCAGGAGGAAAGTCAAGTCAAGAAACAAGAAGAGTAAACAAGTCACAAGCCGGAAAACTCGTCCTGGAAGGATACTTAACAGGAGGAGGGTCTTGTTAAGGCTGAAGGCCGATGGCGAGTCTGGGGGGCAAATTCGAGACAGTGGCAGAGGGAAGAAGGCATTCACGGCAACAATTCACAGTACCTAGATACGGGCAGAACAAGGCGAAGGCGGCGAGGGGGAAAGGTTGGGTTTGAGTGAGGATATGCCAGGTTGGGACGAGGATGCAAGAGCAAGAATGGTAGATCGAGCCCTCATTGCTCCGATTTCCAAGTCGCTGGAGAAAGCATAGAGATCAGAGACCATCGGGCCCAGAAAAAGCCAAAAGCAGGGACCCCCTCTAACGGGCTTTACTAGCGCCTCGGTGCACCAACTGATGGTGTGGACCTCTAATCCGTTCACTCCTTTCTTCGGTGGACACACCAACCTGCTCATGTTTCATTCCGTGACCCGCTACAGACCAGGTTCATATCAGCACAGACTTCCAGGGTCGTGGTTGAATCTTGTTATGGTCACGCCCCTCTTGACTTGTCACCTCAGTCGTCTTCGCTTACGCCCCGGCTTTGTCTGAGTGCGGGGGCTAGAAGAGCATATTTCGACCAATAGCGGATTCGCTTGTTATATGAAAGAAAAGTGAGGCCCAGTGTCTTCCACAATTTCTACTAAGCGAGCGGCCCTGTTTTCTTTCACCCTCTGTGTCAAAACTGGCCGCTGATCTTGATTTTTGTCTGTCATCGGTCCATGCTTGACCAAGGCAACTTGGTTTGGAGGCTTCCAGACTTCCAAACTCCCGCCGGGTGCGAAAGAGAACCTGGCACGTTATGCATTTGCCGGACGATTTTCATTTACCGAACTGACTGTCAACTCACATGCTTCCACTCGTGTTTCCTAAATGACTTCAGTTTCTTGGATACGGGTTGACTCCTCTCATCCCCTGTTGGCCTCGAATCGGAAATGGCCCCATTGCTTTGTCAGTGAAGACATCACCAAAGGAGCCGGCGGCTCTGAACCCTTGTTTTAATACATACTACAGCACATTCAAATCCACGAGAGACCAGACCAATTATCGAAAGTCAAGGAAAATGGTCCTGTGGTGGTTGCTAGACACCCACTTTATACCCGAAACTCAGCTCTGCCAGGAAAATGATCTCCAGTCATCTCAACCACAAACAAACCTGATACCATGTCAAAAGGTTAACATCTGCATCGCTATTTTATAGTGTTATCTTTCAGCTTTCTTGCATATCTGACCCCCTCGAGCAAGTATCTCGCACTTCCTCACCTTATCATCTCACGATATCCTCTGTTGGTGTGTGAACATATCCTGACCCAAGCCACCGGGGAATCGGACTCACGGTGTTTCTGGCTGGAGACCACGCGTACCTAATCCCTGACAGGCTCATGCACGTCCCAAAAGTCTTTCCAAGTTTTTGATGCTCAATTTCGTGATGCCTCTGCGTAATAATTTCCTGTTGCAGTTCACAGCAGACTAACATGCTCAGAGTAGAGATTGGGGCCATTTCCGCGTGCGATGTGACACGATACAGTCGCCAAAGACCCCTAAAAACCTGTCATCAACTGAGACTCTGGTTTGCAGATCATTTGCCATGTGACGTCGATCCGTCATCCCAGTGAGGAAAATCCAGGGTCCTTGCAAGGTCAAGTCCCCTGAGCGCCCTGCTTGGAACATTTCGAATGGTTTCCATTACGGACAGAATCTCGATTCCTTGTTTTCGCCCAATACGTAATGAGCGACGGATGGAAACAAGAATATTGTGATGGTGTTTGATGCCATGGATTTAAGGTTTATACCGGGTTTTCTGAGGAGAGTCACGAGATTGACAGAAAGATGATAAAAGCGTCCAATCCCGACGATTCTCCGTCTGTTGCCAGGCACTTGGTGTCTTGGTCTAGGTCTTAATGGACAGGGGGGAAGTTCCTGCAACACCAAAAAATGAATCCCAGTCAGATGTACACCTCAAACCCAATTCTCCGTGGCAATGGGATGCCAAACTTTGAGGTGCGAATCGAATTCTCAAGGCCTGCAAAAATTTCTTTGCCAAGTGGCAATATACACCTCTATCGCGCCTCGCCACATCCTCTTTCGGATCTTGGCAACCGAATATGTTCTGATTGGATGGATTGACGCTTCAAGCTTCTCGATCTCGAGGAAGCGCAGTTGTAGCTTAGATCGAGCTCTACGGGACGACCCTTCATGCAGCAGCGGCTGGGATCGCGGTCAGGCTTGAGCAAAGATGGCTTGGGTCCATCAACAATATCCAATCCCTTGTTCCCTGTGGGATGTTGATTCTTGCAGAAGTGTCGATCAAAGTCCCTGGAAAGAGGAAATCCAGAGGTATGATCTTTGTTGGAGGCTTGACTCACTCCTTGTGCCTAAATACGATTCCTAGATGATGGGGATTTGAACAATCTCCATGTTGATCACCCGTTCACCGTCAGCATCGCTCCTGGCCGGGCTACCCCCTCGATCTAGAACGGATGAAGTGTTGGTTAATGGTGGATTCGTTCAAGACCATCAACTGTAGGCGAAATGGTGTGGCCAATTGGCCTCTCCAGCAAGAAGGATCGCGAGATGCGATGCAAATCTTGGTGTTGTAGTACTTGAGATCTTGTCTTCTCACGGATCGATCCCTCTCTACTACTGCATCGGTTATCCAAAGATCGTGGAAATCTTAACTTACACCACGATGGCGAGGCACAAGCATCCTAGTCCCCTGGTGCCCTCCAAGATCTATCGGGACGGACCCATGAGGCTAATCTTTAGGCATTACAGATGTGCACGCGATCTGTGAAACAGCCTGACCACTTGCAACGGATGGTTGAGCTTCCATGTTTGTCTTGATGATTAGCTAGCCTTTGCTACAGGAGCGAGTTCTTTACCGCGAACAGCATAGAAGTCTAAGTAAGGTATTACAGAATATTGAGTCGCCAGTGCTGCCGTCGTCACAATCAATTACTCAAACATTGCGTCTCCATGTCATATGCCACGAGCCACTACGGTTGACGCAAGACATATGTTTCTGCTTCGTTGACTATTCACCGCTTGCGATAGGTCAAACCTAGCACTCGCTCGAGGGTCTCAACTCTGTGGCTGTTGCTTGTTTCCGCTCGATCTTCGGGACCTTGCCATTCTCCCACGATCGTCACCAGAATTGGTACGTACACCAACATGGACCCCTTCCTCTCTTGGCTCCCGCGTTAGATGCGTGAGCTAACTCGCTCTTTCGGGTGACCCTTGGCCGCCGGAGCGGGACCTCTGGTGTCCCTTGACTACCTACAAGGGTTTTGGGGATGCTGTTCGAGCGTCCCTAGCAGACATCTGCTGTTTAAAGCCACGCATAACCCCTGGGCGATCGTCGAATTGGAGATGAAGTGAGAAGAGCATGTGGCTCGTGAGGTTGCACAGATCTGAAGCATTGTGGGTTTTGATCGCCCAGGATGCGGGAGCCAATCTGTGATCTGACCCTTTTGGTTCGCGGCACCAGCCTTGGACACACCATTGGCTAGTTGTGTTTTTGGTGTATGAGCTTATCAATTTCAGCATGGGAGTGACAAGTTGCTTGATATGCTTCTGATAACCCCTTCAACCACGGTTCCCGTTCGTTTCACCTGTCAAGTCCGAGGAAGTCGGGTATTATCTTAAAACTGGACTTTGCTTTTGGTTTCGCTGTTACTTTCCCCATAATCTCGGAGACAGCCCCTCGGAAACCCTGCTGCCAGATAGTAGACTAACGTGGTCGCCTGCATGGGAATACTGCCCGTTTCAGAAGCTTCCCATGTTAGGAAATGGGCCCAACTTGTTAGTGTCCATCCAGCGACCTGGTCTAAGAAAATCTGGTCCAGTATTCGCTACAGCAGACTATAACTCGCTAGTGTTCGTTCTCACAACAACTTCACAGTGGCTCTACAACAGCCTCTTCATGCTCCTTGCGGGTGAGAACGTTCGGCTGTTGCCACCTGAACGGGCCTGGAGCGAGTAATGGTATGTCTTGCTCGTATCGGTCTTGGGTCAAGTCAATCGTATACAGCCGTTATCATGCAAGAGGTACATACCTAGTAGTTTCATGATGCTTTGAAATGTTTCTTTTTTGAACACCCTTCCCGTGCCATCAAATGAACTGCCTGTACTTAGTTCTAGTTTTTATCATTCAATTATGATTTGGCCCAACAGAACAACATTCATGACACTCGCACTCTCGATGTACTACCCTATATGTTAGGTCAACATATGAAGTAGCTCATATTGGATCCCCAGTTGTCAGGAAAGGGTATTATTGTTATTTAAAACTAACGAGATGACTGGCTACCCAATTTCAATTTCTGTATCATAAACCGAACTTCATTTACAGAAGAAATCTGACTAAAATTGCCTTGGTGGGAACGTACTAGTCAGTACAGGCTGGACTAATTGCTATAAGTGTTTCGATGCTGTTTTCCTCATATAGACTTTATTAGGAAACAAGCAGAAGCGGTGTATTGATAGGGTTCATTTATCAGTGCCTTGATCTGCCCCTTCTAACACTGGTGTTCTATCAGTCGATTCTATAGAAGGTTTCATGGTGGACTAATTTACTTGACATTAGTATGGAGGCAGGCAGGAATCTGAGAAACAATGTTGTTCGTCTCTATTGCTGATCGTTTTACTTTTTTAGACTTCCGACTCTATGTCTATACAATCCAGCATAACTTCTAACCCTTCAATCCTCAACTCCAGAGTCATTGCATCGACTCACGCGCAACAATAACCAACAACCCACAAATCGCTAATGCCACATCCACTACTGCTACACCATCCCTAGGGACTCTGTATTTTAGGTACAATTTTTTCATCATGGTCATAATTATTAGGCTTTTTGGAGAAGAGACTTGCCAGTCATCTCCTCGGGCTGAGGCAGACCCATGGCAGCAAGGACGGTAGGGGCAACATCACCGAGGACACCCTCGTCAGTCTTCTTGAGGCTCCAGCCCTCGGGGTAGTTGGCCATGAGAAGGGGCACCTTGTTTGTGGTGTGGCTGGTCTTGGGCTTGCCGTCAGGGAACTTCATCTCCTCAGCGTTGCCGTGATCGGCAGTGATAAAGAGGACGTAGCCCTCCTTCTTACAGGCCTCGAGAATCTTGCCAATGGCCTTGTCAGTGGCCTCACAACCGATGACAGCAGCATCGTAGACACCAGTGTGACCAACCATGTCAGGAGGGGCAAAGTTGTTCATGACAAAGGGGAACTTCTGCTCACCCAGACGCTTGACGACCTGGTCGGCAACACCATCTGCAGACATCTCAGGGGCAAGATCGTAGGTAGCGACGGACTTGTTGGAAGGGACCAGATCCTGGGACTGATCGCGGGTCTCGAGAGGGAAGACCTTCTCAACACCACCGTTGAAGAAAAAGGTGACGTGAGCGTACTTCTCGGTCTCAGCAATGTGGACCTGCTCAACGTTCTGCTTGCCCAACCACTCGGCGAGGACGTTGCCCATATGCTGGGGCTTGAAAGCAACCTCGAAGGGGTAGTCAACCTTGTACTGAGTCATGGTGACAAGGGGCTTGATCTTGGGGTACTGGAAGTCGGGAAGAGGAGATCGATCAACATCGCCAAGAAGTTGGGTGATCTGGCGGACACGGTCGGATCGATAGTTGAAGAAGAAGACGGTATCGTCATCTATACGGTTGTTAGAGGTTGCTTATGAAACGTAACTATTTTAAAATGAACTTACCCTTGATGCGGCGTTCATCGCCACCAACAATGATGGGAGTGAGGAACTCATCCCTATCAAGATCACCGCCGCGCTCATATCGAGCCTTGACGGTAGCAACGGGATCCTCAGAGGCCTCACCCTCACCAAGGACAAGACCCTTTAGGGCAATCTCGAGGCGGTCCCAGCGCTTGTCGCGGTCCATGGCAAAGTATCGGCCAACAACGGTACCGATCTCACCGATGCCAATCTCCTTAGCAGTATCAACAAGCTCCTGCATATAGCCAGCGCCGGACTTGGGGTCGGTGTCACGGCCATCACCGAAGAAGTGGATGAAGACCTTGGGCACACCAAACTCCTTGGCGGCCTTGAGGAGGGCGTAGAGGTGGGTTTGCTTGGCGTGCTGCTCTGGTGTAAGTGACTGATAGTAGAAAAAAGGATTTGAATATGATATGACTTACCACACCACCATGGGAGACAAGACCGCAGAGGTGTAGTCGGCCGTTTCCAGCAGCAGCGCTCTGGAAGGTCTTCTTAATAACATCGTTCTGGCTCAGCTGGCCGTTCTTGATGGTCTGGTCAATTCGGACAACATCCTGCCACACAACGCGACCAGCACCGATGTTCAAGTGTCCGACCTCAGAGTTACCCATGAGACCCTCGGGAAGTCCCACCGCTAGCGATGAGGCCTCGAGCTCAGTGTAACCCTTAGAGTCCTTGTAAAGAGCGTCCATGACGGGGGTCTTGGCGTTGGTGATGGCATCGCCATCTTTGGGGCTGTCGGCAGAGGGAATGCCCCAACCGTCAATGACGACTATAAGAATGCAAAAACAACATAATTAGCCAGGCCAATTCCAAGTATATGAGGACAAAACACAATGTAACAATCCAATCTGGCCGCGACGCAATTGGCAATTCCTGAGCGACGAGAGTAGTCGTCTTCGAACGTTGCTCAGGATAACGAGCCATTGCAGCACTGTTGCTATCGCGATCGCGGGGCATGAAAATGGGTTTGTTGGAAATTGGAGGGGGCGGGGCATGACGACGTACTGAGGCAGGCTTTTTGATCAGTCTTAGACATGATGACTACTGTTTGTTGGGTTTTTTTTCTTGCACTGAAGCAATGAAAGGAAAGAAGAAGGGGATCAGGGAAAAAGAAGAAGAAATAGACGAGGTATAAAGAAGAGGCTCTAGTAAGATAAGGATAAGACGGAGAGTAACTTGGGCCTGTCTTGAGTAAAAGAAATGATGCGTGATTTGATGGGCCCAGACACGACAGATGATTTTGCAGGGAAACACGTTGTAGTGGTGGGGGTTTATGTCATGTCACTCACCAGCCATGATTTGTATCCGCACTATGCGCACTCACTACAAGAGCCCGTGTTATACCGTACAATGATGAGATCACACTGTCAGCCTTTGACCTTTTTTCCATCTCTTTCGGACCGTCAACCCAACAACAAAACGGCCCATCGGCCCCAATCGATCTTTTCCATTTGCCCACCACCATCTGCGATAAACCTCGACGCTATTACGGCCTTTTATGCAAGGCTGAAGGAATCCACTCGGCCTATTTCCCCGAGCTGTATGTAATAGAGATACGACACCGTCCGCATCTCTCACCTTGAACTACCTGTCAACATCATACTACACCGCATCCACACCTACCTCGCCTGATTCTCTCTCACCACCCTTCCCGAGCGAGCCTTCAAGCGGTCAAAGCAGAATCGAGTCATATCATAAAACGACAGACCATGTCTCCATCATCTGCATCTGCGCCTGCATCTGCATCTGGCCCACACCCATTGGCCCTCCCGCCCACGTTCTCTCCAGATACTCTAGACGCCCTTTCCGAGCTCTCCCTCGTCCTCGCCCGCGTCCGCGCCGGTATTCAGTCGTCGGCTGGAATCACTACCGAGCCTGCACCGGGGACCACAGGCCACAACGCCCCTGGACCTACATTGTCTTTCAAAGATGTCCCTGGAGCAACCGATGGCCTGAAACACAAGCTGCAGCGTGCTCGCGCGCAGGTCCGCGAGCTCCCGGACATGGACCGATCCATCACTGAACAGAACGATGAGATCCGTGACCTTGAACATCGCATCGAGAAACAACGAGCATTACTCCAACGACTAAGAGACGAAGCCACTGGAAGAGATCGAAAAGACGAGGTCAGCGCTGGCGACAAGATGGAGTCATGATGGATGACCGGTATTTGAATTATGATGAGTCACCTATGTTCTTGGGGCTTATTTTTAGCGGGGTTGTCATCTTGGTTCATCAGCAGGGTGTTTGGAGTTTTGTATAAAACAAAAGAATTCATAATTGCGCGTTACATTCTACGTAATCCCGCGGGCATAGGGCTCACGGCTGGGTAAGAGGCTCATCCTTTAAGTGTTCATCATGATCGTCACCTCCGTGGAATGCCCAGCTTCTTCAAGGACTCCTCCACACTGACACCAGGCTGGCCGGGGACGACAGATCTCCAAATGTCATCACTGAGCCTCTCGTTTTCTGACAGAGTGGTCCAGTTAGGACTGTGACCAGCCTTGAGCCACTTGAAGTCATCGACCTGATCCCACTGGTTTTCGTCAGGCTCCTCAGCGTCTGTCATCTATGCACTTGTCAGTCGGGCTATTCGAATATTGAAGATCACATCTTACATAGACCTTGGGCAGCGGTGCAAATCGCATGCCAGAGCAGTCCTCAATAATAGGATGGCTTCCACAGTGCAGGTAGATATCAACGTTACTGCACTCATGAATCCGCACTTGCCTGGCCACAACAACTATAGTGCTGTCAGACACTCCTGTGATATGGACTGCGCCGCTAACGCGACCCCCGATGATGAGGCTCTTGGACACGTTCTTAATAGCGAGGCCAGGGAATGCTGAGCCCGAGGATGTTGGGATAGACATGTCGATAATACAACCCTTGAGATCAGTGAGACTGCCCGAAGAGGTGGCACGGGACGCCGAAGACGGTAGAATAATGTGTAGCCCTGAATGATTCGAAATGCTAATATTCTTGGCCGCCGAGAAGCTGGGCTTACGAAGGGAAGATGCGCTGGGTCGAGCCATCTCTTCATTATAATTTTTGTACGTATCCTTGGACGGTAATTCACTGAGAGTGTCTTCTTTTCTCACCGAGGGAGGATTGGCGATGTTGGACGCAATGGTCGTGTCATGCTTGGTTCGAGAATGACTTCCAGGACTAAGACGAGGGTCGTTCTCAGGAGCGCCCATATCAACGTGGTCAGTCTTACGACGAAACTGGAATTTTGGCTTTGGTGTGATTTTGGTCAGGGTCTCGTTCAGCTTGTCCTGGAGGGTCTTGATGGTCTTCCGAGCATGTGAATATTAGTCGAAGCCGCGTGTCAAAGAAGCCAGCAGTCTAACCTCAGAATACTGTTTTCTATCATAAGAAGGAGTATAGTCGGCAGCATCTGACACTTCGTTTTGTAGCTTGGCGATGCTGGCTAGAATATGATCAATGGCCTCCTGGCGCTCACCACCGACACTAGCAACGGATGGTAGCTCATCGATCAGGTCTTGGAGTACTACGTCACATGGAGGTTAGGCAATGGAGAAGATTTGAAGACCTAAACATCCACTCTCACCTGTAATACTCTCCAGGAAATGGTTATAGAAACGTTGCTTAGGATCCATGGTAGCTGATTGAAGAATGACCTGGTGGGTGGCAGCCCAAGGGTCGTGTGGATGAGTTGCTCTTTGAACCTGTGTTTCCATAACGAACAGTGTCAATATGAGTTGCTAGTTTGAGTACCCTTCTATAAGCTCTGCTTGGAAGAAATGTGAAAGATGATGCAACAGAAGGAATGAGAAAGCGGACGAGAATGACTTTATACGGACGCAGACATAATCAGGCGAATGGGAATAGTAGTGCAATTGACCTATGACAACAATAGGTTATGAATCAGAGAACTGGGAAACCAATGTCACACTCTGATGAGGACGTAGCAAAGGAACTCTGGGCCGAGGATGATCACTCCAGGCTTGGAGATATATATGCATGACAGTATTAAGAGCCCGATAAAAAGTGTCAATCACTTACCAGGAAGTGAAATAAGCCGCAGCAGGTGATGCCAATATGCGCCTCTAGTTTCTCCTACCCCAGAATGCTGCACTGCTACCCCTCGTCTCCGTACGACTTTAATAATGCTTCTTCAGCCTTCAGGGTCACGATTTGAGGTGTAGTCGAACCAGCAGCTGGTAGTGACGTCAATGCCGCCTGATGGGGCCAACGAGAATGGGAAGACGCTGTTGAACGTTGGTGATGAGTGGAGTAGCCTGCCCTGAGCGGTTGGGGGATAGTCTGTTCGAGATGGATGGACGGGATGAATTGGTGGATGGTTCGGCAGGACAGGTATTCGTTAGTGAGAAATTGGCGGGCGTCACAAGGCGTGAGACGACGAGGACGAGGTGTTAAGTGTGCTGCAAGCGTGGTGTTGTTGCCAAACGGTGGCACCACTATAAATCGTTCAATCCTTGAGAGCTGGGGTTGACCGTACTTCGTTAATAGTATGGTGGAGAGACTTGGAGAGGGTTCTGGACCTTGACTATGGTGGGTCAATGCCTGTTCTCCAAGTTGAGGAAAGCGATGAAGAATTGGAGAACACCTGAGAACGTCGTCCACTCGTTGTTGGAGTGGGCCGATCAGGAAGCCGAGAAGCCTATGTAGTACATCAAGACTTTAGAGGGGACCCTTGGAGATTCTGACAAGATCTTGTTAGACCCTGTCTATTGGTGTCCTGTAAGTCACATCGCCAGCCAACCATCAACAAGCTTGTCGTCATTGTCAGTCTGCGAAGACGTTTTCGAACACAGCAATCGTATGCCGTAACTTATCAACTTCTTCTGGTCTCCGCCGAGGAGAAAACAAGGTTGACGTTTTAAGGGTCTGGGGGTCGTTGAGCCTTATCTTACATAGTTCAACGCCATGCAGCGTGGGGAACAATGGTGGTGTTGAGCATTGGGGAATGTTACATCATTGGGTAACCACTTCTGAGACGAAAGCAATGCGAATGTCGTGGGCTTTGGCCTGAGAGGTCTTTATGGTAACTAACCAAGTCAATCTATGGGGTATTGTGGTGGTTTACCGGGTACCTAAGTTTGATCATTTTCAGCCCGACTTGCTCAGACACAAAAGAAAGCAGGTACAGCATGACGGCCAAGTCGTATGGACTGTACCTACTACTATACTAAGTGCGTAGTAGGTAAAGTAAGGTAACCGACCTTACGGTACCTTGCCTTACTAGGTACGATTTGGGGCCTACGAGGGCCGTGAATCCGGAGAGGTGGAGTTGGAATAATGAAAGTTCCTGTGATATTTCACGCGTGTAAGATTAGAGGATGGAAGCAACTGCAACCGAACGGCATAGCCGATTTACGGTGTGACGAGTGCCTTTGCCTTTGCCTGATCAAAACTTGCAGTTCATGACGATCACCAGATTACTTGCACGATACGAGTCAGAACAGATGCCCGCAGGGACTTTTGATTCCTGAAAATGGTGTAACACCAAAATTAGGTCTCGATTCTTTGATCGATGCCCAATTACCAGATCTGGCTGTCTCTCAGTTGACTATCCCGACCTTTCACTTTCACAGCAATTCTCTATAAAACTCAATGATAATTCTCGCCATTATTCATTACTACTCAAGCAATTCTCATGTCTATCATTCATCTAGCCCGTCCATTATTCGCTGAAGTTCTTCTTCCTGTATTGGGCAATGGTGGTATGTAAGGCAGCGGCATTCGCTTTGTTGGCCTTGTCTCTGTATTCAACGCTCTCCACATCTCCCAGATGGTTGCCCGACGAGCCGGCAACATGCTGTATTGTAGGCTATATAAATTCTTGCGGTTGATTGGCGGCACAAACTTGCCCGTCAGCAAGCAGAAGAAGACTTTAGGTGACAGGTAGTGCTTTCGAATGCGATTTGCCATCTGGAAGTATTGGTTGAACATGATTCGAAACGTCAGAGGAATCGACTAATAGTGGTGTTAGCGTGCTAGTTTGCATACGAGCAATCGGAAACTACACACCTTGAGATAGATGACTGATGTAGGCGGCAACCCGTCAGCATTGTTCGCTTTGTCGTGCCTATAGTCATGGCTATCTCGAAGCTCGAATCGTATACCACCTGGAAGTCTCCTTGGATCTTTTATTCTCAACATAAGTGCAAACAATGGAAAGTGATTTAGACATGAAAGAAGGGTATCGAAGCCAGCCTTTAAAGAGATAATAGCCATCCTTGCGATGGCAAAGTTGAGATAGAAGACGGCAACTGTCGGCAAGAGGAAGAAGAGTAGCGTAAAGAGGATGGTACCAACAAGGAGTTGATCCAAATCGTAGTCGCAAGAATCAATACGGTTGCGAAGAACGTTGTGTTTCTTGCCGCGGAAAAGATGAAAGAGGGACTGCAGAATGGTGAGTTGCCAATGATATATCCGCCCGGATGCTAGGTAGAACGAGTAGATGTGAATAGTCAGGGTGGAAAGCATATCAGAGAACATGGCAATTGGCATGCTGGCTCCGGCAAAGGAGGAGAACCCTATGAACCACACCATCTGGGGCAATGCTGGTGTCAAAGTCTCGATACAACCTATAACTTTTAGTCAGGAAAGGTATGGATGGTTGAGGGGCTTCCCAAGACTCACTAGACCAGTAATCGATGACCCAAAGGAACAAATCTCCCAAGAACGCTGCCAGTTCACCATTGAGCTTGAGACCAGCTGGCCAGCCCATAAGCCATGATATGCTGCTCTGAAGTGCGTCTACAGTGTAGGTTTGGAGTAAGTCCCCGATTTGCTCAGCAACCCAGTCTGCATTCTCAATTATGTATGAACCCAGAGCAATTCCGATGATGACATCGTTGGCAACAAGCCATAAGCTGTTATAGAAACGGATATAATCTGGATGGCTAGTAGTAACACTGGCCCAGTTGTTTTTCCGTTGTCGCAATGTCATATACTGCATCGGCCAATAGCAAAACTGTTGTAGTCGTATCTCAACTTGTTGTGCTGTAGCCGATATATCTTTCAGAGCTGCATAACCAGGCTTGGCCCGGAATTCAAGCAGCAAGAGCAGCATCTCTGCTACAACGCGGTGACCCATAAGAACAAGAACAAAGGCCTTGCGTATAGTAGGGAAAAGATAGAGCGTAAACCATGTCCACAACTGAAGGATGACATAGTTTCGCATTGTCGATGCGGTCTCAACAACCCTCTCAGACACACTAAGGCTTCGTCGTGGTCTTGATCCCAGCCGTCCCACATTTTTCTGCAATGTCTTCTCCAGCTCCCAAGACCAGTTTATCTGATTGATGATTTTAGGCAGGGCCCTGTCGCGCGCAGAGGGAACTCGTTTGAAAATGGTGTGCTGCTTGAGCTTCTCAACTAATTTGCGCTTCTCTTCCTTCTTTTGGCGCTCTCGAGTCTCTTGTTCCCCTTCTGACACTGTGGTGTCGCCTAACAAGGAGCCATCATGGCCAAGCGCCAGTGCAATCGGATTTAGCGATACATATTGCATCCCCTGGGGCTGAGGGCGATCGTATAAAATGAGTTGTACGCTGACGGCCTTGGCGCATGTGATTTTTGGTTCCCTTGGATTTGAGTTCGTCGTAGCACAGAACCAAGAAGGGTCTGCTGCGGCTGTATCGATGGCATTCGAGAGGCCAAGGACATGCATTGAGCTATGGCCGCACATATCGGTAATCTGGCTAGTTGGGTGAAGTTCGCTGCGGAATAAAGTACCGGCTTTGAGATGGAATTCGGTGTTTCGTGCCTGGGAACAGTTAGCATACCCCTGCTGTCGTATTGCAATGCGCCAAACAAACATCGACATCTTCGAGGATGGCCACAACAAACACATCCAATATAGAATTGCGCCATCCCACCACGACACCAGGGCGATCGGACTTGCGAATGTCCGTCGGCCAGAAGACTCTCATCAGCCCATCATGCTCTACCATGACAAGCAACTATGTCGACAAGGACAATATTCTTAAAATGAACCACGTCTTCTGAGTTGTTCCCGCGCGGAGACACCAGTTCCTGTTCCTCTTGGATGCTGAACAGATATTGTTAGCCATTGTCAGCGGCTTCGGATGTTATAATCGAGCGTACCAGATTCGTTTCTTTTCTGGCTAGTAAGACGGTCGGGGCGCAAATGGAGAGAAAGAGGACAGATAGTGCAGCAAAAGCTTTTGCTGCGCGTGTCTATGTAGTTATAGGTTAGTCCTGTAAACAGTTGCGTAAGAAGGAGGGACATGGAAGACTCACGACAACACCGTTTTCCCAAGCGAAAATGGCAAGCTCATAGAGGCGAGTGACGAGATCCCAACGGGCAGTAATGTAACCAGCGACGAAGATGCCGAGCGTCAGAATGGAAAAGGGGTGCATAGAAGCGCTATTCCTCGTGGCAGTACATGCCGTCCTCTGGTGAAAGCTTAGAAGATATAGTCTATGCCAAGCTGTCGTAGTGGGTTTGCTGGCGGGACGAGGCGAAAGTTGACCGTAGGTTCGCAAGGTCGATAGTCCTATATAATAACGAAAAGACTGGATTATCGGCGTCAGAACTAACGAAAGGAAACGGGACTCAGGTTCGAGAAGGCATTGCCAGTCCAATGAAAGAGATCGAGTTGATTGGTTCCCCTTGCACGTTGTTCTGTCCCTGAAGAGCAACATCGAAAGAACTAACAGTGGGCCGGCCACCCATCATTTCGAGATCACGTGGATGCGGCCTGATTCCGCACTCTTCAAGGCGATGACGATGGTCGGCAAAAACGATAGGAGCAAGATATGGAACGGGGAGGAGGATGCGAAGCAGCAGAAATTATATGGGAGTCGAGTAGAGAGTGTACATATGCATCAGGTATATCCGGGGCTCTTATTCGCCTAAACTCTGAACAATCATCTTTTCTGCATTTCCGGGACGCCATGCTCGCCAGTACACGATATATGTTATTCTTAAAAGCAACATTAGTACGTTGAAGGACATAGGAGGTAGGAGAGTATCATACTTCTCGGCCCAAGGTGCTTTAGATCATTCTCTTTGTTTTCTTCTCGGGCCTCTTCCACTAACTTATCCACACCTCGATCCTTTAGAGCAACCTGTGGTAAGCTGTGAGCAACAAGAAGCCTTTTACCTTAAGTAAAGAGTACCTTAAGACAGTTTTGGTATTCCTTGAACATGTCTGCACATTCCTTGTTGTCCTTTTCCTGGCCTCGAAGGTATTCTACATATTATTAGCTGAGTGCCACAGCATGGCTCGAGACACATACTTTCGCTGTACCATTTTAAGAAACACGTATCGTACCGCCTAGAATCCAGTAAGATGGAACTCATATCCATTATGTGAAATGAACTTACTCCTTAACCTCATTGCACTCTGGCGATAGTGAAGCTGACATTTTGAACTGATGGTGGTTAATGATGTAAGATTGTTGAAACATTAAGAAATCTAGGGTGCCCCGGAGTTAAAGACGCCAAGCTACACCTATCATAGTAGCCACTCCACAAGGTAAAAGGTTCTATTCAAGAGAGAACAGTCTCGATATATGTCCATATCAGATACCTTGATACAATAAGCCACCGTACGAGCATAAATCAAGGCTAAGTGAGCCTTTGTTTCCTCGAAAAACAGAGAAACATTGACAATTCCATTGTGTTCATGAATGTAACAACCTCGACTGAGGAATGGAGTCATCACGAGCGCGACAAGCTGCCATTGGTCGAAGCTCTCCCCCGCCAAACAGAAGTCTCCACAATAAACATCCAGGCTCACTCTTGGCCTGTCGCGTCTGAACGCGACTCAAACAGAACACTCGACTTCTCATTGTGAAATGCCATGAACCATCAGATCACGTTTTTTCAAGTAACCTCGACAAATATCATTTATCAATTTAAAACCACTTCGGAGTAAACTCAAATATGGCGCCATCGGAAGATGAAATTGAGCAGGCACTCCTCGATGCCACTTATCAAGTCTATCAAGCTACACCAGACGAAACCACTGTGAACAAGGTTCGCAAACAGACTGAAGAGAATCTAAGCCTCGATGAAGGATTTTTCTCAAATGCGGAGTGGAAGCAAAAAAGCAAAAGTCTGATCAAGGAGCGAGTGGTATGTTTGGCTTATGAACGACGTCCATATCATAAACTTACACGGTATTTAGGAGAAACTTCTGGATGGATGGGTTCCAGACAGCAATAAAGATGCAGGTTCCGATGGAGAAGACAAAACTGGTGTGAAGCGGTCTTCTCCTGATGCTGAATCTCCTCAACCAAAGCCCAAGCGCCAGAAGCGCATCACAAAACCCAAAACAAAGCCAAAACCAAAGTCAAAAAAGGCAAACAAGAAAGAGGAGTCTGATATTGAATCTGATCTTGAGTCTAAGCCCAGTGTATCCAGCGAACTGAGCGAATTAAGTGATCTCAGCGAAGAGGAGAAACCCCAGAAGAAGCGAAAACGAGCGGCGCCAAAGAAAGCAGCACCAAAACACAAGTCCAAAGTAGTTAAATCCGAAGAAGAGGACGAAGTGGATGCGGTCAAATCTGAACCCGAAGTACTGGGGGAGAATGACGATGAGGCTGAGAATGGTGAACTTACCAGTGACAAAGCAACCACTTCAACAAAACCACAGAACCCAGAAGACGTAGAGAAGGGTTCCAAAGAAGATGAGAACAAGCCAGTTGTCGACGAGGAAGAAGAATATTCTGATGTCATCGATGAGCCAGTAAAGCCCAAACGCAAGAAGAAGGAAAAGAAGGAGGCAGGCAGCAAGCCAGCAAAAGCTACCAAGGTTGCCGCAAAGAAAGTCACTACATCTGACGACCCCAACACCGAGGAAATCAAGCGACTGCAGGGCCAGCTTACGAAGTGTGGTGTTAGAAAGCTTTGGCACAACGAGCTGAAGAAGTACGGCAATGATGCCAAAGCGAAGATTCGACACCTTAGGAAGATGCTCACTGATATCGGAATGGACGGCCGCTTCTCAGAGGCGAAGGCGCGCGAAATCAAAGAGAGACGGGAACTTCTGGCCGAGGTCGAATCTGCGCAGGAAATGAGTGCTCTTTGGGGTGTAGAGGGCCGTGGTCGTGCAAGCCGCAGTAAGAGCAAGAGTGCCAAGGTCGTTGAAAGCGGCGGTAGTGATGCCGAAGAAAACGATGGAGACGAGAATAATGATGACGAAGAGGACGAAGAGGAAACGTATGCTGCGAGACGCAAGAGAGCAAGGGCGGATTTGGCGTTCTTGGGTGACGATGACAGTGACTCTGATTAAGCCTATGGGTATTCTATGCTTATGACTCGCCTGTCTATATTGACAGGATGTAATTTAGGAACATCGAGACGCATCACGACAAGCTGTATACAAAACGAGGTCTGGGAATAGCAGTGGTCTGAGTTTTTTTTTTTTCTTCAATTGTCTTACAATAGCTAGGCGTTAAGAAACAGCGTCTATTTAGCTGATATCCTTTTTATCTTTAGATTGTGATCCAACTCAATCGGCCCATGCCTTGTATACGGTTCTGGCACCGTATGTGTCACCCTTCTTGAGCAGGACCTGGTTCTTCCACTCAGGTACATTGGCAGCGTTAACATAGCGAGCAGGCTCACAGCAGAAACCGGCACGAGCACCACGAGCAGGCAGACCGTTGACGGCAGGCACGCTAATACCGGCGCCGGTGTAGATCTGGAAAGTCGGCTCGGTGCTGTAAACCTCGAGGTTCACGCCGGAGCCAGAGTGATGGGCCTTGACATTGAGGTTGAGGGGCTGGTTGCGGGTGTCCAGAGGTACAGAGGAAGGGTCTGTGTTCAGGACGAAGCAGTGGTCGATATTGGGCTCCTGGGGGCCCAGGGTGAAGGTCTTATTGGCGGTGACACCAGGGAAAGGCTCGATCTTGCCTGTGGGAATAAGATCGCTACCAACAGCCAGGTAGTTGGCTGTAGGCAGGGTGATATCTGTGCCAGCAATAGTCTCCTTTCCGCTGGGGTTAAAGTAAGAGTGGTTGGTCATATTGATGACGGTCTCGTCAGCGCCACCAACGAGCTTGGCCTCGTATTCCATGGCGAGAATGATGACTTCCTTGCCATCGACCTTTTGTGTGCCAGTTGTGTAAGTGACAGTGACTTCGACGGTGCCAGGGTATCCCTCGTCACCATCCTCACTGGTAAGTGTAAAAGCAACACTCTCGCCGCCCTCAAGTCCCTCTACACCTGGAACTTGGCGAGTTCCAACAGGCTTGGGGCCGTCCCAGACGCGGCTGCTCCAGCCAACCTTGCCGCCATGAAGATGGTTCTGTCCATCGTTGGCGGCGAGAGTAACTTCCTTACCATTGAGGCTGTCAATGCGAGCACCCTTAATGCGGTTGGCGACACGACCAACAGTCACGCCAAAATAAGGGGAGTTATGCTTCTCATAGTCCTCCTGCGTAGGGAAGCCCTGAACAATGTTGATGCCGTTGACGACAAGCGACTTGATAATGGCGCCAAGGGGCAGGAAAGAAATGGGAGCGTCAGCCATGATGGATGATCTCACTAAAGCCGTTTTGTATATGCGTGAAGACCAGTATTGATAAGGATGGTTATATGAGGGTTGAGTGGGATTTATATCACACCAACCAACCTAGCAAAGAACGAAAAGAACAAGTAAACAACAAACGGATATGCGCTGATTTGGGATGCGGCCAGGTTTATCTATTTGGTATTGTCTGCACCCAGCAGCAGACTACATATGGGGATAAATGGGATAGTTGGAGGACCCATCATGACACTTCAGGCTAAACTGCCAATGGAAACGGAGTCATAAGCCGCGGGGTCTTTTCATGGCAAATATGGAAGAACCAGAATCCCACAACGTGACGACGGCGGTATTCGGGCCAGCTCGACCGAGTGTGTGGTGACTTGAGTGCGGGGTGCGTCATGGGTGCTCCATTAATACCACGTAGTGAGTGGTGCGGTTGTAAGCGATGATTTGGTAGTTCGTTATTTGTGCAGTACTTATCACTGCGTATCGTCATGAGGCTTAAACTGTACGTATGTCGTTTCCTACAAATTAGGAAGGTTCGCCTGTGTCCATGCTTTCACACATATAATGTAATATTGTGAAGGAGCTAAAAGTTGCTCGTGAAGCTTAAACATGATCGCGGTAAGCTCAAGTCCATGGGTTCCACAACCACGGTGTTATTGTTCACATGTGTTGAGAGACTGAAATCATGCCCAAGTATCACAATAGGCTAATTTATAAGGCACAGACAAATCCTTGAGTTTCAGATGTTCTTCATGAACAACACGTATGTACTTTGACGCTGTATGCACAAACTATCCGTTCGACCCTTTTGTAGCCCTGAAAACGCCATCTAAATGCAAGTCGCTAGAGTGGTATCTCAAAGTTGCAAATCACACAATTCCAAACAATGCTTCATTCCTGGTCTTGCATAGACACTCTACCATTCCAGACGATCGTCACAAATCAGCTTAACATCGAATCGCTCGTTGCCGTTCCAGACCTTGTTGCCTGAGTTGCACCCAGCCACAATCGTGCGAAGATCACTGATCATTCCACCGGGGCCACTGGCAAATACTGTCGTGGGACCAGTAATGGTGTTGCTCACAAAGTCGTTGATGAGCTTGGGCAGGTTAGGATGTCGGTCCTCGTCGACAATACCGTTTCCGATCTTAGCAACGGGGATATCGGTGCCGCAAGCACAGCCTTCTTCTATCACGTCTGACGATGATGATGAACCGACTTGCCTGGTAGCATCTGTGACATCCTTCTCGTCACCGACCTCAAGCTTCGAGCTGCTGCTGGAGTCTCGTGTAGCGTAGACGCGGATCTTGAGATTTAGAGCCTTTCGGGCCTGCTGCAGAAGGTCCATCTCCTCCCGAATCCATTCAGCGTCAGCGGCGTGGCGGATGGCCCAGATGAACTCAATCTTGCGGTCTCGGGAGATGGGCGATCGTGCGAGTTCAAGGAGGACAGGGAGTACATAGGCGATACCAGTGCCACCAGCGACGCAGACAATATTGGTGTCAGGTGCAACATGATCCATTGTGGTCTCACCATAGGCGCCAGTAAGAATGACAGAAGTGGTAGCTTTCTCAGAGGCCGTGAGCTTATTAGCAACCAGCTCAGCCATCTTTTTGGTTTCACCGCCCTTGGCGCGCATGATGTACGAGTGCTTCACAATGCCCTTCTCAACGATAGGAGCATTTATCGGAGTGAAGGGATGTGATTGCCATATGCTGCTCTCAGTGAAACAGAGGAAGTAATGCTGTCCAATCTTCCAGGGGTCCTGGTCGTTTTCAAGGTCGAATCGAAGAATGTCACCATGCTCAGCGTCAGGGAACCTGGTGATAACAGCTTGAGCAGCTTGGAAGCCCATGTTGCCTGAGGGGAGATGATGGTAATGCAGATAAGCGGTACGAAGCAGTCGGAATCCACGGTCAGCGAACCAGAACAGGAGTGATGGAAGCAAGAAGCACTTGAGCTGCTTCCAGTGACCCCAGCAGGCACCAATGTAAACCATGGCGAGGACATAGTGAGACTTGCGGAAGAACTCGTATCCTGTTACGCGAATTCCCCAAGGAGTACTTCCAATGAACATGAGGAGTAGCAGAATCATGGCAACAACACCCCAGATCATGTATTCCTGGACGATCCACTCGGCGGCAACCTTAGGTTGAGGCTGATACAGACGGACCTCAACGACAGTCCAGGCAATGGTATGAAGGGAACCCTGAAGGAAAATGATATAGCCTAACCAGCGATGCAGGAAGATGAAGCTCTGGTAGGGTACTCCTGTGATCAGAGAAAGGACAGATTCTCTGCTAGCCAAAAGGACAGACAGAGGAGTCAGGGCATACGCTAGAATACCGATTCGGTCAGACCAAGGACCGAGAGTAGTGCGAATGTTGTAGACTCCGGGCATATCTTTAACGGGAGTGACCCATTTCTGATAAGTCATACCAACAAAGCTCCAAACAGTGAGATATCCCACGAGGGACAGCATGACAGCAACCTGAAAGCGAGTGGTACGGCCAAAGATGGTCCGGCAAGCATCCGGAAGGAGGTATTGTCGTGTAAACGAGCTGAGACTGCTGCGGACCTTTGTGAGACCGGCTTTTGGGTTCACTCCAAGAGTGATAGCCGGAGATGAGGGTTTGCCGACATGTCGAAGAATACCCCATAGGAAGAAGACGGCGAGAATAGTAGCCCAGAGTATTCCAGAATAGAGCATGCCTAGATCGTGGGCATAGTAGACGAGATCGAGATATTCGCAAGAACCCTTATCGTTTGTGCAAGGGAGAGCGCGATCAGCATATCCCCAGTGAGGTTCCAGGGTTTTGGCCTCGCTCATGTTTTGGATGTGGCGAGCATCCAGCTGGTTGTGAGACGCCATCGTGAAAGTTATAACGGCCCTGCTGGCCTATGGAAGGTGTAGAGATAATGTTAAGAGGCAATTGAGTTTCTCATGGACTTGGCGGGACAACAGATCAACAGATGAGCGATCTACAGCTATCTCATGTGTCACGAACCATGAAGAGAGATGACTGTTGAGTATCAAGACTAAAGTAGAATGAAAGACGTGATGCCATTAGATACAAATAAGAATCGACCCATCGGTCGAGTCTCCACTGAAGAACCAACCGCCGCCACGGTCTTGACGACCTAGTATGAGCATGTTTGAGGTCTGCGAGATAATCGGGTACGAAGTGATAATAAGGTCTACTTGGCGCCGGGAGCCAGGCCATATCGGGCAATTGTTTCCTGATTACTTGCTCAAAACACCCTCTTGGAGATTGGCCGGAACGGCCCTGATGAAGAAATGATACCCTGAGATAGAGAGAAACATACGAAGCTGAGGCAGACGAGAGACTATTCAAGAGGAGTTGAGCAGGAATGAGCACGTTTTGCCGGGATCTTCACTCTATAGTGGGGCCGTCGTGACACCCGACTCCACCGGGGGAATCCACCGAAGCTCGGCAAACCTTGGGATGTGGACAGAACCTGAAGCTTTCCGGCTCTAGATTTGGGTATTACAGTACTATCAAGGGTCGAATGAGTGATGGAATAATATCGCGTTATTAATATCTCCCTCATCCTTCGGCATAACCTTAAACTTTGACCTTATTTCTGCTCTTGCATGTCGCTTCTTAATTCTCCGACCGTCTTACAAGTCTTGGAACCAGCTCAATCATTCTCAGTGGAACCTCAACTCCTTGACATTTGCCTTACTTATCTCCTCATCCAGCCACTCTCTGGTTCAAAACTACATAGCCTTGGTGCAGTTCAAGTTAGGTTCAGTGTCCATTGCCGACTCCCTCGTTCAACCACCATTACTCAACTCGAGTGAAAATATCAACATAACAACTCATCATGGATCACGGAGGAATGGGCGGTAGCGGTGCTGCCTGTAAGGTCGAGGTAAGATTACCAGGAAATACCAATTTGTTCTTAACTAACAACCTCAGATGTTGTGGAACTGGAACACAATTGATGCATGTTTCCTCGCCTCGTCATGGCAAATCAAGAACCAGGGTATGATGGCTGCTACCTGCATCGGCGTTATCCTTCTCGTTATTCTTGTCGAATTCTTCCGGCGTATGGGCAAAGAATACGATGCTCTTCTTCAGCGCGGCTTCCAACGTCAAGCCACAACTCACAGCGTTGCCCTCGCTGCCGCAGGTTGCACGGGAGCTGTCGTTCCCACACGCCAAACACTTACATATCGCGCTTCACCTCTGCAGCAATTCATCCGCGCATTCATCCACGCTACTACTTTTGCTGGAGCTTACATCATTATGCTTTTGGCCATGTACTTCAACGGCTACGTTATCATTAGCATTTTTATTGGTGCCGGTCTGGGCAAGTTCTTTTGTGACTGGCTCGTTGTGAGGATTGATATCGAAGATTTGACGGCTCCTGAGGACAAGGCCAAGGGGATTGAGGAGACCACAGTTTGTTGTGGCTGAATACATGTGGACTACATGGACCAGAGTTGAGATATACATGTTTTGCATGATGAATATGTTTTTAGCGATACCCATAAAAGCACTTTTGAAATCGAATTCACAGTCATTAGAGGTCCACGGCGTGTATTTGGATATCCCTTAGAAGTCTTTTGATATGTACATCTTGTAAGGAGCATCCTACTAACCTGAGGTAAGTAAGCGGTATCTCAATTTTGAGTTGTTGGTTTATTTCAGCAGGCACATCATCCGCGAGTCAACTTGGTAATTTATTTATAGCGTCACTTTTGTTTAACAGTAGCAAGGGAAATAGTTGTTTTCCGAGGATATAGGGTGGCACACTGGCACAGATCTTGTGTGATAATATACAGCCAACTCTCCCGGACGTTTACGGTGGACTGCACCAAGGCATTTAGCCATCAAGGTGAACCTCCGTATCTGAATCAAGGTAGTCGCTAGTGGCTCGTTTCTCATGTTGTCCACTTACGAGACTATCGTCTCATATCTGAGCTGGGATCAAGCAGCACAATACAGGTCAAGGCACCATGTTTCAAGTAGTTGTGCCTTACCCAAACAAGGTAGTCACGAGTAATTCAAACCCAGTACTGAAGCTCTGTGAAGGAGTATTCAACAGGGATCACGATCTAAGTCCTCGGCCGGCATTTGACGTATGAGCGGTAGTGGAGCAAGAAGGCAAAATAACTTGCTCATATCTCTCTCACCACCCAAATCCAACAACATTCACCATAGAATACTCATATGAAAAAAGAGAAAGATATGGTCTTTATCTTTGTTAATATCTTGCCACTATCACGAATGAGTTGGTCGAGATTGCTGAGAAGCCGTACCAGAAAGGCCCATAATGGATCTGTGATTACATAGGGGATCGAACGTTGGTTGAAAAAGTCAGGGCGGCCTGAGACGAGAATGGTGGCCTTTTCACATCTGGGAGAGTGCCTTAATAAATACGTGCTCAATCCAGCTCCAACCAACTTATGACCTGAGGTGATTTATTTCCAAGCGGCCCCGGTCGCCGTCAGATCGACCACGCCACAGATCAATCCACTACATACAAGACTGTCGAGAGCCTCGTCAGCGCTCTACAAGTCAAGTGCAATATTTGAAAGCGACATATCCTCTGATTTTACTTTCTTTTTCTTTTCTTGATATTTGACATTGTTTGACGATTACGGACTATACACAGCGCGCCTTCAGCATCATGTCTTCATATCCTTCTAGTCTATCGAGCTCATATTCGGGCTCACCAACTTCAAGCTCTGCTTCACTTTCATTCCACCATCATGCCTCTTCTCCAGGAAGAGATAACGGCAAAATTGGAGACGAGATGGGAATAATCAGAACTTGGTTCTCAGTATTGGACGATAGTGAGCGGTCATCTGCCCTCCACTCGATCGCAGAACTACCAAGTCTGCGAGAGATTGAGCCAATGATCCAGGCACTCAAAGATCGCAAGCGAGAATTATGGAGGCAACAAGAAGAACTCATCATTCAACCTCCCGTAAAGCCGAAATGGATCATGCCAGTATTTCCACATAACTCTCAAGACCCTCGATGGGCTGCCAAATGGCTTCGAGCTTTGAGGTTGCACAAGTATGAAAGATGCTTGTCGGGAATGTCTCCGGCTCAAGTTTCATGTCTAGAAGACGAGGATTTGCAGCAACTGGGCATTGATACCGTTGGCGCAAGGGCAAAGATGCTTCGGGTAAGTTATGAAAATACCAAAGCCTGTATTGGATATGTCATCTAACATGGTATAGGCTATTCACAATGTATAAGACTAAACTTACTCGGCATGTTATATTTCATTACCAGCAGACCAACTGGTTTGGTCATGACTTTATCTTCGTCACGAATTTCCATGGCGAGCATTCCTTCTAGGACATTTCGTTTTCACATCAGACTTAGCGAGGACCAGTGTAATCAGTGAACGGAAATACGCTATTGCCAGATCTGATACACAAAAGCCACAACGGAATGGATACGGTGGCCTGAGATCTGGCATTATGGTGTTGAGGTGGTTTGATATGGGGAAACAATGGCGTTTGGTATGGATTTGGAGGAGTTATAAACTACGCCGCATCCGGCATCAGATGACTTGGTCGTAAGGTGGTCTTTACATAGTATAAACATATATATAACAACTGTACATATTTATATTTCATTATCATTCAATTTGGCCACAGTATCAATCATCATGCTCTAAACATCTGAGACATGGCGATCAGCGGCAGATCTACGATATGATGCTAGTCCAGCCAGATCGAACGTGACCCGAAAGTCCGAATGTGACGCTGAATTTGCGGGTTAATCACGAGGCTCTTAGGAACCCGATACTTACTTGGCTTTGTATTTGTAGTCATGCAGTACAGTAATCCTATATTATTTTTATTATTTTCATTCTCGGAGCACGAAATAAAAGGTCCAATTGGAATATACCCTCAAGTCACACTGACACTCGCGCTTCCCTTTTTGGTTTACTACTAGCGAAGCAAGTTAGGTACAGAAGGTCACAAATAGCAAGTGGTGCTTGCGCAACCAAAACCGATAGTTCAGACTCAAATCAGCTCAAACTGCGGATCCTCCCTTCAACGTACCTCAACAAGGCATTGTTATCAACTGGAGCTATCGACTTTGGTTTCGACAATACTCAGCTCTGACTCGGCTCGACTCGTCCTGGTCCTGACTTATCAAACAATGAACTATGGCTATGGCCACCGCGTCAACAAACACCTCTAGCACCCCAAAACGCAAGCGCGGAGAAGAAACCTGGGCATCCCCTATACAATTCACATTTGTACATGAGCCTCTATCTTCTTCCTTTCCCCCTTCTTCAACCCCAGCTTCAGCAGACACAGAAGATGGCAGCGATAGCTCGCGGTCAAGGGTCCTTGCCCACAAGTTCCGTGGTCTTGCACTGGAAAGTGGGGGCGGGGCAACAGTCAGCAACGAAGATAGCGATAATCTCATGGATGAGGATAAGTCGATGAGGAAGCGACAGAAACCCGATGAGATTATGAGCGAGGCAGATGCAGCTCCAACTGTCCAAGAAGTCGTCGATCTTGACGGAAAGGCTGTACTACCACCCAAGGAACCGCTGCAACCTTCCGAAGGTCACGCCCACGAAGAATCCCGGCAACAAAAGGCAAACCACGGGAGCCTGCATCATGCATACCCGTCTATCAACAGACTTTCCGAGTCCAAATCAAGAGTCAAGAAGAGAACGGGCTCGCCGCCACTTCGCATGAAGCGCCCTTCTAGGCGGCCTTTTGAGGACCCAGACGAAGAAGAGGTCCAGATTGTCGACCCTGTCAGAGCTGCGCTGACGTGGCATGAAGATGAGATCACCATATACGACCCTGATGATGAGGATGACGACGGTATCGGAATCAACGGTATCGGCTTCAAGCCCACACCAGCTCTTGCGCATGCACGCGCCATGAAGCGGAGACAGCAGATGGCAGAGTATCGCAAACGAGAGGAGAGCGAGGCACGAGCACGACGCAGTCAGCGACGTGGTCGTGGTTCAGGAGTCAAGTTCGGAAGATCAGAGGAGCAGTCACCGCCGCGAAAGGTCAGATTCACAGACACGGAGGCTTCGAACATTGCGATTACTACAGGATAATGTTATTATTTGGCGCGTATTGGGCTCGGAGCCAAGGCTTGTTGGGACGTTGGGGGCCGCTATAGATGTTTTAACGATTCCTTTGGCGTTTTCCCTTTTATTCTGGCGGCTTGGAGGAAGCGGCGTATTAATTACCGGCACATTTCATGGTTCTTTCATGGGGATTCATGGTTGGTGAAAATTGAAGGGATCGTTGGCGAATACATCAAAGGCCTAATCAAACCGCTTTATACCCTGGTCTCTAAAAGACCATATAGCACTACTACGATTTGGTGCCCAATTCACGGAAGCACTTCTATATACTTGCTCTTGCCGTCTAGGTTTGTTTTTTTGCACTTGGGATTTTATCTACAAGCTATACCCAATCCACGAGATATATACTCTTACACACAAATAATAGTACATAGCAGAGGCAATGTGCTCAACCTGATGGTCACCAGACCTTGTACCATGGCTTTACTGCCGCCTTCTTTTCAGCCTCCAGCTTGTCGTGCTCCCGTCTTGCCTCTTGGATCTTTCTTGCTTGTTCTCTCCTATTCTCCGACACCACCTCAATATGTCGTTTCATTTGTCGACGTTCCTCGCGGCGTAGGTACTGGCACCATTCGTATGATGCCATGCTTCCAAGCACAAATACTCCAACAGCCCAGTTCGCAGCGCTACCGGGATTTCCTTTACTCCTTCTTAGACCATACTTTATACTAGAAGTTCAACATTGTCGACTTACCTTTGAGGACGAACCTCAATCCTCCAATGCCGGCACCAGATGCTATTCCTGTGATGAAACCTTGTCGAGCACAAGGGGTATTCGCAACATTCGTAAAATCATCCTTCTTGATCATAGAAACGGCCTCTGAAATAGTTGGCCTATTATTCGTTGGTGTCGCACCATGTTCGCCGTTGACTGTAGTAGTTTCGTTTTGCTCTATGGGCTTCGACCAGACATGCAGAGTCTTATCGCCGGGCATCGGTTGCCCATCCTGTGGATTTGAAGCCATTCCCGGCTATAATCGCGACGCAATTGATGTCATGAACAAGTTGGCACAGCCAAATCTCGACTTTCTTCAGAAGCACGTGGGATGAGACCGATGACGCTTGACAAGCAAGGCTTGCATCGGGGATCTTTGATGGCCCGTGCACGCTTCGTTGCTCTGTTGAAAGTCCATTAAACTAAAGTGGAGTGCAATCGCGTCGCGAGGGCGCGTCTAAACGCGTCTCACGCTTCCAATTTATGCAATCTCGGTCCAGGCTTTAGGGACGCCCTTCATTTACTTTGTTTCCACAGATACACTCCGCTCAGTGTTGACTTTTCAAACAACTTTTTCTCAATTGTTTATTCTTCTGTGTCGTTTTAACTGCTCTTGTGCAATTCCCTTCTCTCCATGTCGAATCTTTCTTACCTGACATCGTCAACTGCTCGTTAAACCACACTCCTTTTGGGGAGCCCACCCCAGAACACTCGATGCCTAACACAAGTCTTCGTCGCCCTCAAAAGGGTTTCCGTCGAGGAGGAAAGGTTGCCTATCATGGTAATCGAACACGCACATTCGCGGCCTCATCCAGGAACGAGGCCACGTCGGCAGACGAGAAATGGGAGCGGACACGGTTAGCACACAGCATCGACGAGAACATGGGCTTTGCGCGTTATGAGAGCGGAAAGAAGAGAGAAGGCTGGCTAGTCAACATTCAACCCACATCGATCGAGGACGAACGGATACCAGGTGGTCGAGCCGCTGTCGATTGCTATTTCATCGAAGAAGACGGCTCGACCTTCAAAGCCACTGTGGAATTTGACCCATACTTCTTGATCGCTGTCAAGAAAGGCCGAGAGTCTGAGGTTGAGGAATGGGTGAAGAGAGTTGCCGGAGGTGGTGTCGTCAAGTCGATTCGACGAGTTGAGAAGGACGATCTCAATATGCCCAATCACTTGCTCGGCTACCGAAGAACATTCCTTGAGTTAAGGTTTGCCAATGTCAACGACCTCATGGCTGCGAGAAAAGATATCATGCCTATTGCGGAAAAGAACAAGAAGAACATGAATGCTATGGATGCCTACGCCGAAGTGGCAACGTAAGTGCTCGCTCAACTGATCTCTGGCAGAATCAAGCTAACGCGAAACAGCTCGAATGGTGACTTCGACCTTTTTGATGATTCACGAGATGACGACCGAAATATGAACACTGCCCTTTCTGATGCGAGCGACTTTATCGTCGATATAAGAGAATATGATGTACCATACCATGTACGAGTAATGATAGATTTAGGTATGTGCGATCCTTGCTCACAGACTCTTCTACAAGCTTTACATGATGTTTGCAACCAAGTATTTGCTACTTCAGAGCCCCAAAGGCCATGAGACCACTATTCACCATTGCCCTGATTATTGCTTCTATACAGTCCTTGTTTCTGCCTTGAACCCTTGTCAAGCACCTGCTGACCTGGACATCCAGATATACGAGCCGGAAAATGGTATTTTGTTGAAGCCAAACATGGAGTCACCAAAATTTACCCCAACGAAGAGAGGTCGTTGCCGGCTGAACCTGTAGTGATGGCTTATGATATTGAAACATCAAAGCTGCCTCTCAAATTCCCTGATGCTGCCACCGATCAGATTATCATGATTTCTTACATGATCGATGGCCAAGGGTTCTTAATTACAAACCGTCAAATCCTTTCAGAAGATATTGGCGACTTCGACTACACGCCAAAACCAGAATACCCGGGTCCCTTTATGATTTTCAACGAACCTGATGAAAAGGCTGTCATCGAGAGATTCTTCCTCCACATCAAAGAGGCGCGACCTACCGTCATTGCGACTTACAACGGTGACTTTTTCGATTGGCCTTTTGTGGAAGCACGGGCTAGTATCAATGGAATCGATATGTACCAAGAGATTGGGTGGAAGAAGGACAATGAGGATCAGTACAAGTGTAACTACAGCGTGCACATGGACTGCTTCCATTGGGTCAACCGAGATTCGTATCTCCCTCAAGGTTCTCGTGGTTTGAAAGCCGTCACTGTTGCGAAGCTCGGATACGACCCAGACGAGCTGGATCCTGAATTAATGACACCTTATGCGACTGAACGACCTCAAACACTCGCTGAATACTCCGTCTCCGATGCCGTTGCAACATATTATCTATACATGAAATATGTCCACCCTTTCATTTTCTCTCTTTGTACTATTCTACCGTTGAGCGGTGATGAAGTATTGAGAAAGGGAACAGGTACACTTTGCGAGATGCTGCTGATGGTGCAAGCATATCAACGAGAAATTGTACTTCCGAACAAGTATATCACACCAAAGGAGGCCTTCTGGGATGGACATCTCCTCGATTCAGAGACCTACGTCGGCGGCCACGTTGAAAGCATCGAAGCAGGAGTATTTCGAGCTGATATCCCGGTGGATTTTGCTGTCGACCCTGGAGCTATTGACGAGCTCCTCGGCGATCTGGATGCAGCCCTCAAATTCGTGATCACAGTTGAAGAGAACAAGAACTTTGATGACGTGGAGAACTACGAAGAAGTCAAGGCTCAGATCGTCGAGAGGTTGAACAAGCTCAAGGAAACGCCGAACCGTAACGAAAAGCCCCTGATTTACCATCTTGATGTCGCATCTATGTACCCCAACATCATGACAACTAACCGATTGCAGCCTGATTCTATGATTCAAGAGTCCGACTGCGCTGCCTGCGATTTCAATCGACCAGGAAAGACATGTGATAGAAGGTTACCTTGGGCTTGGCGAGGAGAATACTTGCCCCCAAAACGAGACGAGTATAACATGATTAAAAATGCACTCCAGAACGAGAAGTTCCCCGGTAAATTTCCCAGTTCTCCTATGAGAACCTTCCAGGATCTTAGTGCCGACGAGCAAGCCAATCTTGTACGAAAACGTCTTCAACTATATTCTCAGAAGGTCTACCACAAAATCCACGATTCGACAACTATTGTGCGGGAGGCAATCATTTGTCAAAGAGAAAACCCCTTTTATATCAACACTGTACGAGACTTCCGTGATCGTCGATATGACTACAAGGGCAAAGCCAAGGTTTGGAAGGGAAAGACGTCATCCTTGCAGTCTTCTGGTGCTGCTCAGAGCGAGGTCGACGCTGCCAAGAAGATGATTATTCTCTACGACTCGCTGCAATTGGCACACAAGGTTATTTTGAACTCATTCTACGGATATGTCATGAGAAAGGGATCTCGTTGGTACTCGCTCGAAATGGCTGGCGTCACTTGTTTGACGGGTGCTCACATTATTCAAATGGCTCGACAACTGGTCGAACGACTGGGACGACCTCTGGAATTGGATACCGATGGAATTTGGTGCATGCTTCCCGCAACCTTCCCCGAGAACTTCTCTTTCAAGCTGAAGGGCGGCAAGAAACTCAACATCTCATACCCCTGTGTCATGCTTAACCACCACGTCCATGCAAAATTTACCAACCACCAATACCAGACACTCGTCGATAAGAAAACCCTCAAGTACGAAACACACAGCGACAACTCCATTTTTTTCGAAGTCGATGGTCCATACAAGGCAATGGTTTTGCCCACATCGAAAGAAGAAGACAAAAACTTGAAGAAGCGTTACGCTGTCTTCAACGATGACGGCAGTCTTGCTGAGTTGAAAGGTTTCGAAGTGAAACGTCGTGGTGAGCTGAAGCTCATCAAGATCTTCCAGCAACAGATTTTCAAATTTTTCCTCGAAGGAGAAACGCTGGCCGAGTGTTACGGGGCCGTTGCCAAGGTTGCCAATCGTTGGCTGGATGTTCTGCACAGCAAGGGTACAACATTGGCAGACGAGGAGCTGATGGAACTCATTTCTGAGAATCGAAGCATGTCCAAAACTCTGGAGGAGTACGGAAACCAGAAGTCAACCAGTATCACAACTGCCAAGCGTTTGGCAGATTTCTTAGGTGAGCAGATGGTAAAGGACAAGGGACTGAACTGTAAGTTCATCATCTGCGCTCGACCCAAAAATGCACCCGTTACAGAACGAGCTGTTCCGGTGGCCATCTTCTCTGCAGAGGAATCTGTCAAGCGTACATATCTGAGGAAGTGGTTGAAGGAGGAGCCCACTGACACCGATCCTCGTGCACTGCTTGACTGGGATTATTACCTTGAGCGATTGGGCTCTGTTATCCAGAAGCTGATCACCATTCCTGCGGCTCTCCAAAAGGTCCGCAACCCCGTACCTCGAGTGCCACATCCCGACTGGCTTCAAAGGAGAATCAACATCAAGGACGACAAGTTGAAGCAGAAGAAGCTCACTGATCTTTTCAAGAAGAGTCCACTGGAAGACATCACCAACTTGAATGGTGCTCGACTGGATGATGTAGAAGACTTTGGTAGCAAGCTTCTGAAGCCCAAACAAATCAACGCAGTCATTGCATCCTCTCAGGCTGCAACGACTGTGCAGAAGCGCAAGTCTCCTGAGCCAGCAGAGAACCCCGATCGCATGTCTGCACTTCCTGAAGTAATGCCAAGCGCTTCGGAGAACTATGAAGCATTCCTGATGTACCAGAAGAAGAAGTGGAAATTGCAGAAGCAAGCCAGAATCCGTCGACGACAATTGTTCGGTGATAGAAGAGGCGGTGCAGTCAACAATCTTCAGCAAACATTCATGAAGCAGGCGCACACTACTTACATGAGTAACTGGCAGGTCTTGCACCTCAAAGCGACTGAGACTCCTGGTATTGTCATGGCCTATGTCCTAATCGACGCCAAGATTCATACGCTTAAGGTCAATGTTCCTCGACAAGTCTTCCTCAACCTCAAGAGTAAGGATCTTCCCGACGTTGAAGTGGACGGTTGTGAAGTTGAACAAGTCAATTACACTCTTCCCAATGGCCATCCGTCAAGCCATCTCTTCAAATTGACTGTATCAGAAGATATTTACTTCAACGAGAGCGAAAAGTTCTCCCTACTCTTCAATCACCCAAGTGTTGAGGGTGTGTATGAGAAGCAAGTACCCCTAAACATCCGAGCTGTCTTGCGTCTTGGAAATCAATGTACCATTGACGCAGCACAACATGCTGTGCTGGGAAGGGGTCTTGAGCAAGGCTTTGATCTAGCTGGTCTGAAGCGACCAGCTAAGACGCGAACGTATCTCGAGACGTCGCCCCTGGCTTACATCTACATTTCTCACATCACAGCTGGTGAACGACAAGTTTTTGGCATCTTCTCTACCACCAATGACCAAGCTCACGTCGTTATTCTGCAGAAGAATAAGGACTCCGGTCAAGATCTTCCTAATATTTCCAGAATGTATTCAGACATGCTCGCTACACAACATGCGGAAGCAGCTGGTACCAACTGGCAGGATTGTTTTACCTACCAGGAGAAACTCCACATCAAGATTACCCAAGTGACGACTCGACGCAAGGCTCACTTGGAGATAGGCGATGTTGTCAAGAAGATGCGCAAGGACGAGCCACGACCACAGATGATGGTCATCCAATCGTCTCAGCGCAAGCTGCTCATTCATGATGTCCCTATCTTGGGAGAATTCCCCGTCCTTCCATTGAAATATGATGTTGCGGATAGCTCTTTACCCCCTCTAGGGTGGCAATCTGTCATCGCCAAGCGGCTTGTTGGCCACTATCTTGGCCTTGGATCCTGGATTCTGCACCTTACAGCTTTGGCTCGTTACGGTGATGTCCCTTTGTGTAATTTGGAACGAGATGATCCTCGATTCTTGATCGATATTGCCTATGCCCGACGCCTTCAAGCCAACGGAGTCGTGCTTTGGTGGTCTCCCGATGCTCGCCCTGATCATGCTGGCTATGAAAAGGACGATCTTCTTGGCCCTCTCGACACGGTCAAGATGCCAAACGTCAATAATCCAGGAACCTTCTCGTCTGTGTGTATCGATATTGATGTCCGAAATCTGGCTATCAACACCATCCTGACCTCATCTCTCATTAACGAGCTTGAGGGCGCCGACTCCGTCTCCTTTAATCCCGCTGCTGACGACTCTGAGACACTTGCATCTGAGAATGCCTTTGCCAATGCTGGCGTCCAGGTCCTGCGTGAGATGGTAAAGGCGTGGTGGACCGAAGCTTGTCGTGGAAGTACCATGGCCGATGTTCTCGTGCAACATCTTGTTCGCTGGGTTGAGAACCCTGACTCTTTCATGTACGATCGAGCCCTGCACTACTACGTGCAGATGATGTCTCGTAAGGCCTTCCAGCAGCTCATGGCTGACTTCCGTCGAGTGGGGTCTCAGGTCATTTTTGCCAACGCCAACCGTCTTATTCTCCAAACTACAAAGGCTGAGGTCGGTAACGCATATGCATATAGCGAGTACATCATCAAGTCGATCAAGAGCAAGCCACTCTTTCACTTTATCGACTTGGAGATTAAGGAGTACTGGGACTATCTTGTATGGTATGATGAGTTCAACTACGGAGGCAAGGCCTGTCAGGAGGTTATTGAAGCCGAAGAACAGAACCTCGAAACTGTCATGCACTGGCAGATGGCAACATTCTTACCTGTTCGACTCCAGTCCACATTTCAGGACTGGGTGATTGAGTTTATCCAGCTTATGCATCAACTCAAGCGGCCTCACAACGGCGACCCAGATGCCACACCACGCTTGACACAGCTGCCAAGCAAGGGCCTGGAGGATCATGAAGGTCAGATTATATTAGGCAAGGCATTCGAGAAGCCTCTGAAGAAGGACATCATTAGCCTCCTCAACAAGCAGAAGCGTGAGCTGCTTCATCCAGAGCTTGCACAGGACTATACATTCCCTGTCCTTCCTGGCTCACACCTCAACCCACACAATCCTATCCTCGAGCTTGTCAAGTCACTCATGCAAGTTCTATCGCTTGACAAAAACATCACTCTTGAAGCTCGATTACTTCGAAAAGAGCTTCTAGCTTTGTTCGAGGTGCGCGAGTTCTCGAAAGATGGTACTTTCACAAACCCATCAGAAAGTCTTCGTCTTCCTCAGATATCCTGTGATAGCTGTACTATGATGCGAGATCTAGACCTATGCAGAGACGAAGATCTCTTTGGCGAAGGCGCTGCTTGGCGCTGCGGCTTCTGTGGCACCGAGTTCGACCGTGTCGCCATAGAAGAGCGATTGTTGGGCATAGTAGAGAGCTGGGTTGTGGAATGGACGACTCAGGATCTCAAATGTGTCCGGTGCGGTGCACTGAGACTGAACGACTTCATGGAGCACTGTACCTGCAGTGGAGAGTGGAAGGAAGTTGTGTCACGACAAGACGTGAGCAAGAAGCTCGGAGTTATGAAGAGGGTGGCCAAATTTTACGGGCTAAGAATGCTCAGTGATGTGGTCGAGGGACTTTACCAGGGTTTATGAACGGCGTCATGGTGGTTGTACTTAGGTTATAATGAAGACAGTAGTAGAGGAGTTGAAGTAGTTTGGAACATAATTATCATCTCCCATAATGATTTGGGCAATCCAAAGTTGGAAATTCTAGTAAAAAGGTGTTCCGACTTGTTTAGACTGAGGTTCTTGATGGTCCCAACACCAATTCTTTCCTTCACGTGGTAATTCTGCTCGTGCTAAAAACAAATTCATCTGTCTACACCAAAGCCACTGTCTCGAGTTTTTCGGGCTCCCAAGGTGGAGTCTGGTCAAGGAAACAATCCCCAACGAGATCGAAAGCAGCATGCTCCAGGTGCTGTGCGTTCGTATTGCGGCGCAGTATATAGGGGCACAGCCCGCCACTGATAATTGATATTTGGTCGCCAACTTCTGTGTTAGGTGGTCCTAATGCCAAAGTCCCTTCGCTGGTCAAGAGAACGCAGTTGCTAGGCGCTATTTCGAGAGCAGTTGAGTGCTTCTGAATGATCTTCTCGTCCTTCCAGATAGACTTTGGATCAAGTATCAGTGCCCTGGTGTCTGACAATGCTGACAGGCAATTTGAACAATCGCCGTCGCTTAGCAGACATGTCGAGCAAGTTCCTTTCGGGTCGGAGAACTTTTTTTGCGCGTATTTCTCCCTTAGATTACCTGATATATGAAGAAAGTCGCCATCAGAACATTCGGAAAGAAGATAGATGAGGATGGCCAAGTCAGGGTCATCCTTGGGCAGCAGTGAGGTAGCTTCATCACTATTTTCGCTTGTCAAGACGGCTCCGAAGCATAACACACGACCCATTGATTCCCTGCGGTAGTTTTCCTCCCAAGCACTCGAAAATAGCTCAGAGTAAGTAGCCCTCAGCCCTTCGATTACATCGATTATGTTGGCCAACTTGGGAGCGATAGGTTTCGACACATGCTTGATTGTGGAACACAATTGTGAAGGGACCTTAAGACAGTTTTCAGTCTTTGTAAAGCGTTCCACTTCAGGACCGTGCCACTCATATTGCAGTCGACGTTGTTGAGAGTTTTCACAATCAAGAAAAAATTGTGTGCTGGACACTGTCGCAAAATAGCCAGGTCTAGAGGCAGGTCCAAAAGGATTTCGTTTCTCAGCTATAGATCCCCGAACTTTATGCCGGTATCTTCCTTGTGGATCTTTGGAGAGACCGCGATAGTACGCTAGAGGAGTCAATGAGATTTGACTTGAAGGGGTTGCCGGATTGCAGACTTCGAATGTGAGATCTGATTTACTGTGGCATAGACGAACCGCCCAGAAAGACGGGTTTGTTGTCTGATCCCTCGTGAAACTACCTCCCCAGTTGGGTACCCAAGATGGAAGCTTGTCATCGGATTTGCCAGCCAAATCTGCAGATGTTAACCAGAACAGACCCGTATCTTGCATGATATGAACAACAGCTCGAGAGAAAAATGTGGCTGCCGGGGTATCATAGTCGGCCGCGAAGAGTTTAGTGTCGTCGCCGATATTGAGCTTCCTGAGAAGGCCACTCAGGGCGTATATCTTATCCCTAGGCTCAGAGGCACGGTTCTGTTGGAACGTCCTGAGTAGCCAAAGAAGGGGACTTCCCAAGGACTTTGAAAAGTAGCCCAATTCGTTCATATCTGCAATGGTTTCATACTTCTGCAATTCTTGGAGTTGGGAAACGCATTTTGTTTTAGTGACAAGCAACTGTAAGACTCGCGCATTCTCCTCTTTCAAGTCGCAATATATCGGAGGATGGATGTTGATAATCTCCTTTAGCACATCAAAGGATATCGTGACTCTGCCATAAGTAAGGACAAGCTTGCGAGCTACGCCGACCTCCTGCGTGATCCACATTCGATCCCACCAGGGGGCAATGACAAACATGCGGAGCCACTCAAAGAGTATTCTTTGTTTAACCTCCATTTCCTTGTGCAGGCCTCCGCCGAATAAGTCCATGGTCTTCAGTCGGCGGAGAAGGGATGGGTTAGAGAGTGCTGTCAGCAGCCCAAGGATGCATCGACACTGTTGATGAATGGATAACTGTACACTCTTTTCTGTTTCAAGTTCCCTGAGATCAGAGTGAATCTCCTCCTAGGCTTTGTCTGTCTCGGTCGAGAACTGAAAGGGGTCTGAACTCCCGAGCTCCTTCAAGTGCTGCTCATATCCGAGTCCTCTGTCGAATGGATCGCCAACGTATGCATGGACATAAGCGGCCTGTTGAAATATTTGATGCATGAGGCTAACCTGACGACTTCTCTCCATATCGTCGTTTTGGTCAATGCATAAAGCGTCGACCCATATGGTGACGGGTTTCTGTTGTTGTTCTGCACGCAGAGTTCGCAAGGCAAGATCGAGATTTGTCGTGATCCATTGAGTGACTCCATTGATAGTGATTGTTCTTGGCGTCCGACAATTCCCCCAAGTGTAGGATAACGCAACGTAGTTAGGGGTCTGGCCATCAAGATTGGAAAGCTCTGCCGTATACTGATTACCTGGCCTTAGATAAGCAATTGGTTCCAAGAGCTCCGTGTTAAGGGTATCATTCCAAGAGCCTGGAAGTAACTGGATCAGGCGAAAGGATCCCTCAGGAAGCTGCCTGTACGATGCTGGGGTATGCGAACTCGAAGTCGAATGTGGTTCCATTCTGCATAATATAGTTGAGGCTAACGTTTTCGGATGTGTTGCATGTATGGTTTGGTAAGTCAATAAAGCTTGCTTTTTCCTTCTCTCAAAATCAAACACTCATTGCAACGCTAGACGTATAAGGAATATATCAACGCAACTCATCGATGTTTGGCTTGACTGAAAGTGTATACAATGATGATTGAAGATAATGAGGCCGTTGATAGAGAGGGCAGGATTGAAAGAGCGAGGTAAAGATCCATGGCATTTGTTTGGTGACTTATTGGTAGGTTCGACTCTTGAGTGCCTATCACCTTCCTCTTGGTAGAATTTGCAGGAGCGAGGATGCCGTATGCCATGGATACCTTACCTAGGTAGTAATAGGATGCCTTAGGTAATCCGGAATATTTCAGGAACCTACCTACCTATGTAAGTGCATCTTACTGTTGCGTTATGAAGAACAAGGTAAGAAAAGGTAGTTCATTCATGGGTTGCCTTCGGGAAATAAATCACCGAGGCCTCATGAATGTTATGAAATTTGGTCACCTAGTGCTCGAATAGATAGATGATTATTACGTCTACATATGATGTCTACAGGCAGGAAGCATGGTTAACTTCGGATACAACAAAAAGATTAATATTGTGAGATGAGGCATCAAGAACAATAATTCGATGAATTGTAGGAAAGATCAGCCACTCTTGCCGTCTAATTCAGAACCATCAGACGCAACATACCCCTGCACACTATACCATGAAGAAACATGAAACTAAAGGCTTCTTTCGAATCGTGAGGGGCCGATCGACCACAATTGGGGGCCGAAAAGTCCTAGATATCATCAGTGCGCCTAACGTCCCTCGGGTGAAAAGTAGAAAGAAGAAGAAAAAAAAGCGTAAAGCAATTAACTAAAGTCCAGCACACTTATAAAATTATCGATCAGTAATACCGGTTGGGTTTGGGTCCCGTTTTCATTGCTTTGTCTTTTTTCGTGTAGTTTACCCAGGGGCCCAAGTATTCTGCATCATCAATCAGCCTTACCACTTACACTTAGATGTAATGGTTCGCCCACCTCTGCAGGGGCCGCCAGCTCTCGTCAGGCAACCGCAATCAACCTATGACCAAGGAAGGCCCCGGTTCGAATGTTTTGCATTTTCTCCATTCCTTGTCTGACCTCTCAAAAATTGCCTTTGTCCGTTTTTCCCTCAATTGCAGCCTCACAAAGCCATTGTGAGTTAATGAACTCACACAATGAACAACCTCAGGCGCAAGGACCACCGCCGGGCCGTTGACTTCAACGGTCCCGGCCATTATCACGGCCCCACAGTCCGGCATCGGACCGTTCAAGCAATATCGACGCCTCCCACGACACCAGCTTCAATTGCTTTGCCGATGTCAAAGACTACTACCTCTCCAAGTTTCATGTCTTTTGACTTTTTTCAGCAGCCAATTCGATCAATCCATTCTGAATTTAATATTGACTGCTACCGGTCTGCATCACCAGCCAAGTTGGACCTGGGCCTGGAGCCTTGTACAAATTGGGCTGGTGAAATCGATATGCGAGAGATGAGTACGATTTCTACCATGAGTGCCGATACTTCTTCTACTGGTTCCATATTTTCTTCTGTTCCGACCGAAGTCAGTGATGCGATGACCGTCCGTAACGGTAGAGGTCGCTCAAGAGGTCCGAGTCCATTAAGTCGAAGTGGGCGAACTAACAGCACTGATAATTCGACGCCTTCTTTCGTCTGCCTTGGCCCTCAATGCCAACGAGCTTTCTCGTCTGACAAGGACCTCAAGTCCCACGTCAAATCTTGTCACACCTATCTGTGTAACTGGGCTGGCTGTGACCAGCCGAGTTTTTCTACTAGGGACGGACTTATCTACCATGTCAAAGTTAAACATCTTGTCATTTGTCCATCACACGGTTGCACAGAGACGACATTCCAAAGTATTCGCCTTCTTCAGTCCCACATAGCCATGGCTCACCCCGAGGATGGTAAAGATGATGCAAAGGAATGGGAGCTTCCAACAAAGATTAACGGTAGCATGGAGACGGGCAACAAGTCATCGCCAGATGACACGCCCACCACTACTCTTGCGTCTCTCAAGAGAAAGGACAGAGATCATGACACAGAAATGTCTACCGATGTGCTTAAGACGAAGCACCAATGCCAAGATCACCTACACGTCATTGTTGAGAAGCGAGCTAGAAAGAATGCTGGTAAGCACGTCAAGTCTCTCTTACCTTGGTAGCTTTCACACTGACTATCAAAGGCACTCCACGAAGTGCAGAAAGTCCAACAGACCTTATCCGAGGACGAGCCTCACGGTGTATAGAAACAACGAGCTTTCCTCTGGTCTTCGAGCACGCCATTCTTCCATTTCTTTCCCAATATCTGCCTATCTGGGTTGGACCCCGTCACGTAGTCACTGTCACTCGAGGCAAATCGCCACAGATGAAGCGAATTGGCATCATGGCTCCAAAAGCTATTTCTCGGGCTCGAAAGATCATCATTGCTAGCCACGTTCAAGATCTTATTCCCAACAACTTTTCCAAGCTAGTCACGTTTGTTTTTACGCAAGGGGAGATTAATCGCACAGTTACCTGGGCTCGTGGCCTGGGCAAAGATCACAAGGACGATATTTGTGCCGCGAGAAACCCCTACTTCTTCCGTGATCCCTGCATGGGTGACAGCATCGGTGTTTCAGGAAATGGAGGATTTGAAGATAGCACTGCTACTCTTGGTCCTTGTATTACCGTCGGTGGTGGGAGTTATTGGTTGGGCAACTTTCATCCCTTCATGCAGGCCTATCAGCAGCTCGCTCAAGTGGAGGTTGAGCATCCATCTTCCCAAGATCGCAAGCGATGTATAGATGAGGGGCATGACGCCATGGCCCAGGAGACGAACTTCAGGCTCGGCAAGCTTGAGGTCACGTCAGGACTTAACCTCAAGACGACGAGAATCTCACATGATCCTTATTGGGATGAGTGTGATATGGATAAGCCCCTTGTCGTAACAGACTGGGCTCTCATCGGTGCTCGTACTTCACAAGCAAATATCCTTCGCAGATTCCCTTCAGAAACCCAACCTCCAACCCAGGAACCAACCGTAGCTACTACATCCGCTATTGTACCAGGTGCAGATGTTCTGTCTAGCGGTCGAACATCTGGTTATCAGCGTGGTCAGATTTGTGAGATCCCTGCATATGTCTCTGGGGTGGAGAATCAGACGCAAAAGGCTACGAGAGAATGGTTTATCGAGGAACCATGGCCGCAAGAGGACGAGGATGCCTGGATACGTGGAGGCATTGGTGTTAACGGCGACAGTGGTGCTGGAGTTGTTGACGCCAATACTTATGGTCTAATCGGTCAAGTCTGGGGTCGCAATAACTATTGGGGGCCTGGACAACGTGTCACCTACTTCACTCCCATCGCAGACATTTTCGACGATATCCAGGAAAAGTGTGGGCAGCAGTCACGTCCTCAACTCCCGCAACACCGCGATGAAGCAAATTGCTTTCCTTTACACCCATCATGCCGCCAATGCTTCGATCTGCGGGTATACCTCAATAGTAGCAGGAGGAGCTCGCGGATGTCGCTTCAAAGCATGATAATGGGTACAGGTGATGGCGACCAGGATCTTACCTCTATTGAGGCTGTTTCAGAGCTAGCTACACCAAAGGATTACCACCGCTATTCAGGCATTGAAGAGACTCTGGCTTCTCTCAGCGGCATTGTCTCTCCAGCAGGGCCCAGTGGTTATCCCGGAACTCCCATGATAGCCGATATGAAGAGCCCCTATGCTACCGAGCTGGATCTTGGTGATCTCTATGGGCCAGAAGCAACTGCGCCAACTCATGCTCGAAAGAGAGGAGGGTCTTGTCTAGCTGCTGCGCCGGGTCTAGATAGATGGAAGAGACAGAGAACTGGTGATTGATCATCCAGCGAAACCTCCCCGTGCCATCTTCTTTGCTCGAGCATCACGTCTGTTGTGGTTCGCCCGAGACCCCTTATTTGCTTCCTTGTTCTTCCTAGCAGTTTCCGTCTCCTTCTTTCCTGTAGGTCCCGCAACATTGCCGCCTCTTCCCCGACCTCGCCCTCGCCCTCGACCACCACCTCTGCCACCTCTCGATGATCCACCGTCAGGTTCGCTTCCTTCTTCTCCCGACCCAGCTGGAGATTCTCGCCAAGATGTGCGTTCTAGTTGCGCTTGTTGTCCACTAAAGGCATACTTGGCCTCTAATCGTCGCTTCTGCTGGGGGTTCCTGACTAAGATGAGGGCCCATCCCTCGATGGCTTCATCTGTCATTCCGGTTTCTTCCCGCAGTTTGGCTCGCGGGCTACTACGCCTTGTGGCAGCATCACGGTCAAACAGCTTGGAGTCCATCTGGTACGCACGGAACAATGCCTCCTCGTTGCTGTCGCTCGCCGCATCGGCTTCCTGGTTGGAGGCGTCGACAGTACCACCCACATCGTCAGCATCGTATGTATCATCACGTTCGTCATCGTCAGAATCGAATGCCGCGAGGGCAGAGAGAATGGCCGATTTGTTCGGCGCGTTTGCTTTATCTTTGAGCATTTCATCGGCGTTCTTGCCTGGTTTCTTTCCAAATGAAACCTTAGAAACGTCCATGGCAAGGCGGTCAAAATCATCGTCGTCAAAAACATTGTGTCGTGCGGGAACCTGAGGCGGAGTAGGTCGTGGTGCAAGCTCTGTGTGTCCTGCTTCAGAGTGTGATGACCTAATGGTGGTTAATAAAGGATCGCGATTTGAGAATAGGTAGAGAATGACGTACAAGGACTCACTGCGGTCAGCATCAGCTAAGTGAGGTGGCAGAGTCTCACTTAGCAGATTGGAAACGACCTGCTCCACGTCCTCTCCGTATTCATCTAGACATTTGGACACGAAACCGGATCCCAAATCAGGAAACAAATCCTGAACCTGAGTGATTTGGCTCATTTTGTGAACATGAATGTCGGCATCCACCTCTGGCTGCGTTTCTTTTCCTTTACCTTTATCCAATCTCCTTCTTATAAGTCGTTTAGGACGGACCATGGCTCCCTTCCTGTAGCTCTCCAAGGCCGTAATTCGCTTCTTGAGATTTTCGGTCGCCGCGCCGGTATCCTCCGCCCTCCGAAGTAGTATCTTCAAAATGGGGGTGTTGGTGATGAGCTCAGGGACAAGTGAGTCGTTGACGTTGAGAGGGCCAGCCTTGTGAGCATCAGCCGCTTCCTTGAGGGCGTATAGTTGATCACTCAGCATCGACCATTTGGCCGGTTCAGTATCTATTAATCCAACTAGACATAGATACGTCGTGGTCAAGATCACCTTGCGCAGAGGAGGATTCATGACACGGAAGCACACAATAAGGCCATCGAGGAAATCAGATCCCGCAAGGAATAGAGTGCAGGTGTCTGACGAAGCATGTAGAAGATAATTCAGTCGTATCAAACGAGCCTCAACGCTCTTCAAATCACCCTTGATACCAGCCTCTAACTGTGGGATAAGTTGCTTCTTCAGGCCAGTGAGAGAAGCCTCAAGCGCAGCAGCATGTTGCTGAAAGAGCTGTGCAATAAGAGGGGCAGTAGCTTTCCTGGGGAATATCCTTGCGATATTTGCCAAGAACGCATAATCGAATAGTTGAGGAGGTGGAGATACAGCGAAGACTCTCGATATGAGCTGAAATACAGCTTTTGGCAGTGTTGTCGAGTGAGAGTCTAGTATTGTGAATCCTGCCTCTGCTGTCTCCTCTGCGAAAGAGACTAGGAATGTTGCAATGGAGTCGTCGCGCGACAGGGCAGTCTTGATGTCCTTTTCAGACAGGGACGAAATGGCGCGGCATATAGATGTCCAGGATTGTAGGAGTGTGTTCCATTCGCTGGGGGAGAGATGTTGTCGCCATGATGACTGGGGGAAGGGTGCGAGGGGTGGTAAAGAGACCATGGTTGAGTGTCTTTGTGTGCGTGGTAAACTTCTGTTTTGTGCGCTAAATTGAGTGCAATTTTGGGTTTGACGAGAACTTAAAGAGAGAGATGAGTCGTTCTTATAAACTGTCGCTCATGAACTTCACAAGTATCGTGGCTCAAGCCTGCGTTTGCATCGCCGGATGATTCATCAGAAAGTGGATTCTCACAGCTGCAAGCTGATGCAGTCAACTTGGAGGAGGTACAAAGATACTTTTCTACCACTCAAGCCAATCAATGGCTCTGGTCATGAAAGCGCTTGAGTGCTCCTGGACTAGTGCGTCTTTACCCGAGAGCTGCCCTGGTAGTTGGTGGTGCAAGGTAAACACCAAGCAAATATCTTAGAGATGATTTTCACAAATGAGCTTCGTTGATTTGTTGTAGACAATTTTGTAAGATCTGTAGCATTCGGCAAGCTCTTACGTCATTTACATTGATCTCATCACTTGAAGTGGGGCTTGTTGTGTCAAAGCCACACAGCAAACTCGGCGTAAATCCACTGAAGTTGATACCATCCTTCACTTTGCTTGTCTTGCGAAGATGTTTCTTTAACTGTCTAGATTATGCATCCAAGCATCCCCAATGATTATACACAACGCCAATTAACGCAGTCTCCTGAATCGTCCAACGCCTTCTATCTCATCCTCGACTCTTCTCCTCCACATCCTATATAAAACAAGTTGTGAACTGGCTCGACTTGACTCCTTGGCTAGAAATCCCATAGAGTACATTCTCGCGGAGGCGGTAGTTCGGGCATCAGGCCACCCTCAAAGGTTCCAGTCTGTGCGAATGCCATCCATTGAGCCTTGGACTTATCGTCGTACATCTCAGGAGGCAATTCTGTATCCGCTGAGAATGCAGGAGGACCATCTGGGAACCAAATCCGCCGCCATGTCCCATCGAATTCTCGGATTCCGGGCTTGTCATCCTTGTAAATGACTGATTTGCCCTTGAACATTGATAGCCGGCCATCCATGCCTTTAGAGCTATAGCTCTCAATAGGCGGGTGTTGTCTACTGCTGTGCGGTGGGTATGGGCCTGTCGAAGAAGCTGCTGCTGAGGATTGCTTTTGATCCTGCGTCGTAGCAAACGGGTTCGCGGCAGCTGGTGCAGCGTTGGATGGCTGACCAAAAGGATTCGCAGGTTTCTGCTGCGAAGGTTGACCAAATGGATTGCTTGCTGGTGGTTGGTTATTCTGCGACGCAAAGCCATTCGACTGGGTCTGTGAAGACTGACCAAATGGACTGTTTGTGGGTTGATTCGAGGTCGCATTAGATGCACCGAATGGGTTTGACGTTGCCGGTGCGGCAGCATTTGAAGGCTGGCTGAAAGGCGAGCTTCCTTGAGCAGGATGTGAAGGCTGCCCAAACGGATTCGCTGGAGCATTGGTCTGGCTATTATTGTTGGGTCCAAAAGGATTGGCAGGCTGACTGTTCGTCGCGCCACCACTTGGAGCACCGAAGGGGTTCGCTGCAGGGGCATTATTGTTGTTTGCGACGGCTCCGAATGGGCTAGAACTGTTCGTTCCACTCGGTGCTCCGAAGGGACTCGGTTTATGTCCAAGCTGGCTGGCTTGGCCAAAGGCACTGCCCTGCGTATTTGGTTGTGACGGTTGGCCGAAGACACTGCCTTGTGCATTTGGTTGCGAAGGTTGTCCAAATGCTGGTGTGCCAAACGGGTTGGGCTTTGCGCCTAAAGCTGAAGGTTGACCAAAAGCAGATCCTGGCTGTGATGGCTGGCCAAAGGTCGAGGTTTGCGCTGGCTTGCCGAATGCTGAGGCGGTTTGCCCCAACTGTGATGGTTGTCCGAACGCTGAAGGTTGCGATGGTTGACCAAAGGCCGAGCCTCCTCCTTGTGCTGGCTGCGATGGTTGACCAAAGGACGGTGCACCAAACGCGCTTGGTTTCGCGCCGAGAGTCGACGGCTGCCCAAAGGCACTTCCACCGGTCGATGCGCCACCACCAAAAGGATTTGAAGTATTGTTGTTGTTGGATCCGAACGGGGTTGACTGAGCGCCAGTATCGGCGATTGTCGATTTGGGTCGCTTCCCAACAAGAAATTCTCCAAAGGGAGCTCCTTGCGTTCCTTCTTTGCAGATATCGTGTCGATTCGGGTGGTTATTTTCCTCGCCTACAATAAATTGAACCGCCCCTTTGACATCGCGGAGAGCCGTCTGCATCTGCTGTTGCGCTTGAACATATAGCTCTTGTGCTTCGTTAAGCTAAGGTTGAATATAGGTCAGCCTGGACGGTCGCGTGAAGATCGATTGAGGGTGCGCTCACAGCTTGCTGTTCGTTCCCTGACGCTTTCCCCATCATAAAATGTAGCCGGAGCTCTTCAAAACTCTGTTCGCGCGGATATCCGCCAAATAGCTGACCAGGAGCATCTCGCCCTGGCGCATAGGCTGAGAGAATCCATTGCGGAACCTCGTTCGTCAAATCCTTTTCGATGGTGTCGATAGTAATGTTGTATTTGTCTGTTGAGTTGTCAATTCCTGTCCTATTTATCAACATCTGTCGCGTTTCGTACCAGCTGGGTTCTGGTTGCTTCCTCCTCCTAAAGCTCCGAAGCGGTTCGAGGGTTGATTACGATTGTTTGGATTTACATGTTCGAATCGGCAACTATCTGTAGACAAGTCAGTGTGATCAGAACGAGGATAAAACAACCCGCAGAGAAGAAAGAAACCGTACTGCCAAATTTGCAGTTGCCCTGCTGAAAGAATTTACACAAAGTCATCTTTTGACGATGATTGAATGGAAATTGCGTGTTGGTCCAGTCAAATTATGAGTGTAGAAACTTTGACATGCGCCAGGAGTCAAATGAGCCAGGTGCCACACTGCCTCATGACGAGGAAGATGCTCCAGTTACGTGACAATCGTGTTCGCTGGATTTTGGCAAATTCTTTCAAGTTGTTGAAAAAATGAAGTTGAGAGAGGAAAAGAAAATGTCTAACAGCGAAAGATAGAGAGCACTCTCAGCCTTTCCCCAGCCTCGTTGGGCCCATCGGGTTTTGCGAACACTTGACACAAGTGTTGAATTAGTGGGTCGTTATGAGCTAAAGCCAAAAGCTCACTGAAGCTGTGCTCCCAAGGGTTGGGGAAAAGGTGCATGGGACTCACAGCTATCGACGACTTACAGTAGAATTTATACTCAGAATAAGGTGGTAAAATTTGAATTTAGATCCTATAGTAATCATCCCTAGATGAAGAGATATTTATTCCGCAATTTTCACCCCAAGGCTCCCCTTGACGGTTAGTCACTTCATGTAAAGGTATATCAAATAAGCCACTATCTAATCATAATCATCACAGGAACATGACGAAAGGGAAATACAATTTCAATTTAAATGCTTTTGTTTTTGTTTCATTTAAATATTCGTAGACCATGAGGTTTGTGCTCTCCTGATTCTTTGCTGTTAGATCCAACGCTTTCTCCATGGCCAGGTGACTGTATCTTATGTCCTGTACATCCATGTCATAAACTCATATTTCTCTCCTTTTTTTATACTCTTGAGCTCACGCCTTGATATGCGCGGCCTTACGGAACTCAATCATAGGTCCGTTCTTAGCACTGGTAAATGTATCTACCAGCTGCATCTCGCCTGGTCGGTGTCGACCCCATTCATTCTTTGGGTTGCCCTCAGCAGGATCCACGATACCAATAGCCTTGCGCATATCATAAAGATACATAGTGCGAGAAAGTGTGTTTGTCATCTCAACATAGGCAAGACCCTTGCCAATACAACCACGGGGCCCAATGCTAAAGGGGCAGAATGCACTAGCAGCCAGCGCAACCTCATCCTCGGTTGTCTTCTCGCCAGTGAGGGGGTTGAGAGCACCAACGAGCCATCGTTCAGGAACGTATTCATATGGTGAAGGGTAGTAGGACTCATTGTGGTGGATGGTATAATGGGGAACGCCGATAACGGTGCCCTCGGGAATGGCACGACCTTCAACGGTGATACCGCCGGAGAGTACCTCACGGGGAAGAATACCGCCGACAGATGGAGAGAGACGCATGGCTTCATCGATACAGGCTCGGAGATAGGTGCAAGATGCGAGAGTGGCGCCTTGGCAGATCTCCTCGACATCGTTGAACTTGCTTCGGATTTCTTCAGTAACTCGCTCGAGAGCGCGAGGACATCGGACAAGGTAGAAGAGAGTGGCAGCCATGGCAGTCGATGTGGTGTCAGACCCGGCAATGATACTATTTAGTTGTTAGCTGGGGTGTTTCCAAAGTCGTCTAGTATCACTTACAGTAGGTTGGACTCGGACCAGAGCTCAGAAGTGCTGAAGCCCTGGCCAGTCTCGGGATCGCGGGCCTTGAGAAGATAGTAGAAGAAATCGCGGCGATCTGTCTCCTCACCAAGCTTGGTGCGCTCTGCAAGTTGGCCCTTGCTGTAGCCCATATAGCGGGCACGACCAGCAGCGAGTCCGGGGAAGAGGATCTTGTCCAGGTTAAGTTTGTTCACGATGGGCATGGTTCCACACTATGAGTGTCAGTTTCATTTTGCCATATTGGAAGATGGTACACTGACGAGAAGGTGGCGGGTTGTAGCAGCTTCAACAAGCTCCAGGGCAAAGCGGTTAGTCGGGCTCTCAAGCATATGGAAAGCCTTGCCGAAGCACAAATCACCAAGAATATCCATAGCAAGGTAATTGCACCAGTCGCTCATCTTACGAGGCTTGGTCCAGCCCTTGGTCTCTTCCCCAGAACCCTCCAACATACCGATCTGCTCGCAGAAAGTACGGACATTACCCAAGATGTATCGCTGCATCTCCTTCATGGCGCTCTCGGAGAAGGCTTGAGACATGACACGGCGCTTACGGGCATGGATCTCTTTGTCGCGCGTGTTGTGCGTGTTGGCGGTAGGGTGAACAAAGGCATTGTAGAATTCGGCCTTGCGGACGTTTGTGCGGAAGCCGTAGATCTCCTTGAGGGCCTTGTTGGAGTTGAAGCAAAGCGAGTTGGGACCGAAGCGGACAACGGGGCCGTATCTCTGGTGCATGCGCCAGAACTCGAGCTGTCTGTCGCCCTTCCAGGCGTGGTAGAGCTGGTATCCGTCTGTGATCTTGGCGAGGAATGGGCCTGGGTATTTGGCTAGAGGGTGAAAGAAGACTCGGTAAACGACAATGCCGAAGCCCTGGTCACATGTGAGTTTCTGGTTATCAAAGAAGCTGTAGGCAGTGTTGACTTACATAGAGAGCTAGTCCTCCTACCAACAACCCCAAGTAAACCAACAGATGTGCTAAGTTGAACGTCATCTTGTCTGTCTCTCACACAAAGAAAGAGTGAGTCTCTAAGAAGCTGTGAGATTAAGAGGTAGACAACAGATCAAGAGAGGCGGAAGTCCCGGAGGAGTTATATACGTCTTATCAAGAAACAAAGCGATACATCTCCATACCTACACGACGACTGTAACCCCATGACCACCCTCTTTTTCTATCTAGCCCATCATGCCCGCCCACTTCTCATGTTTCGCTGACTTCTTCCATCCCTGGTCTGGGTCTAGGCGAGACGCTCATAATCGGCTGGCGGCGGCACACAAAGCTTGTCAATAATCACAAACTTGTTGGAGGTGGAGGGGGTGAGCCATGAAGTCTTCAAGCGGCTAAGTTCGGATTGGAAATGACGGAAGAGTATGAGAATTGAGAGATTGTGGGGGGAGCTTTTTAGATTGTGGGGTTTTAAGCTTGTGATTTGGGGAATTGTTATCATTTCGATCCATGAATTGCATCTACCTAGCTTCGATGGCTACTAATTACGAGGGACATGAACTCGGAATTTTACTCTTTTGATATTGGTTTGATATTGGCAACTTTCTTATAATGGTAGTTATCCGTCCAAGCTTCAGATCAACTATATAAATCCTGTTGTCTCCCACTCATGAAATAAGTACAATAGTTTCAATACGTCGCTGGCGCACGACAATGCTAAGGCGTTACTCTTAGTCCAGCCTCCTTCATCTCCAAAGGTCAGCTGCCATTTCAGACTTTCGCCTTAAAGGCACAGTCAGGCGCCAATCACATCTCCACGTCAAGCCAAGGTCTTTATGCCGTCATGAACAATATGTGTAATACCAACGATTGTTGACGCCCTCGATCTTTGCTCCAACTCGGCACTTACCTTACAAGCGGCTCTGGTCCGTCCTGCGGAATCACACAAATTCTATTTTTCTTGGTCATCCCTGGCCCAGCAGCGGGCGACAGGGGCTTGTAAACCTCACATGCCCGATGATGACCGCGGCGTTGTGGAGTTTCGGCGGTCCGAGTGGGGACGGAGATATTTCTGTACGGAGTGGGCACGGAAATCTGCAGTTTTCGTCTGTGTACATACACAATGCAAGCTTGACAACGGTTCTTGTGCAGAAATACGTCCAGGAATGGATACGATAGGATAATTCTTTCTTTGTACCTTGTTGGTCAGCCGCTGACCGATTTCGTGGTAAGTCTGGCTCAAGCCACATGAGGTTCACTGTAACTCTGTTATCCCGCACACTCGTATAAAACATACGCCGTCACATCGCGGAGGTTTATATAGAATGATAGCAAACATTATTGAGACAATAACAAACCAAAATGCCACGCATTAACGCCGTAAGCAATATTCCTACCCCCACTACCTAGTATACAGTTACCTATAAACGCATCTTATATATCCATACCATCACATAAATCATCGGCTCCTTGAATGAATGCTACATACCCTAGAGCACCCGACTCAAGCGATGAGGATTTTCAACAACGAATACTTTGCTGCGTCTTCGCATCACTATCATACAGCAAATATACATACAACAAGAGTTTATATTGTGTGCACTAGCATTAAGCTCATAGACTTCGCCGCCGTACATTATTCATAATCCATACCTTCCCCGTCCCATTAACTCCTCCCATTAATATGAATAGCATATATGGCATCGAGACATGCCTTTCTCGCATTCCTCAACCCCTTATCTAGCGTAATGTACAGCCTACCTAGTTGAAATACCTGGGCTCGTTGAACACATGGTATCTGTGTTCTCGCACACCATCACCCCGGAACATTGCAGGGAATCTCCAACCCTTAGGCACCTCCTCCTCCTTAACTCGGCGATTGCGCTCCTTATCTGACTGCGCATCCAGTTTCTCGATCTCCTCTTTGGACTCGGGGATCTTGAACTTGGCAACCTGAAGCTCCGTATCGGTAATCGAACTGCGACTCACGCGCGCGTACCCCACACGCTTGAGTCTTTTGAAGAGGATGTATTCGCACCATCGGTCCCAATCTGACGGGTCTACATCTTTCATACCTGACTTCTCGCTCACATATGTGTTGTAGTTACCCTCCTTTGGTTTTGTCACCAGATAACTAAGCAAGAATGCTGGCCGAGGGGTAGAGCCCATGAGATTAGCGAGATAAAGTGACTGCAGACGTCGGTCTTCAGGATCCTCTTCTTGTCCGGAGTGGAAGACAAATACATCGACGAGCTGACCATAGACATCCAGCGTCGCATGGATAGCAGGAGCCAGTTCACCGACAGGACTGGGTAGAAGGTGATGCGTCGAGTTGAGGATGGGAAACTTGGACAGAAGAGCGGCACCCCAGGTATGCTTATTGGGACCAGGACCATAGTCGACATACATGCCGAGATCCTCGGCAAGGAATTGCGTAGCATCACGGTTGCCCATGATGATACGCTGGTTGTCGGACTCAAGAAGACCGATGACATCGATTTCCAATTCCTTAATGAGATCTCGCATACGGTACTCTGATGCCCACATATCGTTGTCAAACGAAAAGTGGATCGTCCAAATACCTGCAGTGAGGATACGGTCATCAGCATGATAAGGCTGATAGTTATTACTAGGGAACCGATGGAATGCTGAGACCAAGAAGAAAACATTGATCAAGATGGTCGCAACGCCAAAATACTTCCTTTGCTGGGTTGGCGCAGACCGCTTTGAAGGTTGCCGCTGATAACCTGAGGCGTTGATGCCATACACACCAGCACCAATGCAAGTCATCATCGTGTACATGATCCAGTCAGTGTGCTCACGAACGAGTTGGCCGCCTGGGACAAAGGCATATGCCACAACCCAAACGTGGAAGAGTACCAAGAAGTTATAGATGAGGAAACCGTTGCCAAAAGTCGTCGTGGGGTTTGTCTTGGCTGCATGGGTCAAAATGGGCACAGAATATGCCATCAAGTAGGTGGCAAGCGTTAGAGCGCCGTAGTAACCGGACCAATGGCTGAAGAAAGTCAAAAACATGGCACCAACGGTACCAATGATATAGACCCCCCAGCTGCTCGCAAGCCTGGGCTGCCAGACTCCGCCGAACAGACCCAGCGACATAGCAAGAACTGTGAGCCAGCCGTGTGTGGAGAAGTATGGTCCACGAATTGGATAACCCTCCCATCCCCAGAGGATCATGGTGCTGGTATCAGAGAGCAAAGAGTGGAGGCCAAAGAACAAACCAGCAAGACCGAGTGAAGAAAGGAAACTCGAGCTACTCTTGGTAGGGCTGGGAGCCAGACCGGCAGCGAGGGGTGCTCGTCTGGTGAAGCGAAGAGCGGCTAGAACACCCAGCACAAGACCAGTGTTGTTCCAACCGCCATTCGCAGCGTGCATAATAGGCCAGATAGGGTTATTCGTCCACCAGGCAAACTTAGCAGTAGACGAAAGAATAAGACCAATCATCCAACCAAGAATCTTGGATTCGAGGCGGCCCTCGTGAACTGACTCTGCAAAAAGAGTACCGGCCCACCCCAAGCACGACATGAAAACACCGATTCCAACAGTGAAAAGGCGGTAACTGGGTTCCTCAACCAGATAGGCTGCGATGCCCGCGAGAGACAGAAGGTGTACTGCGCGCAAATTGTTCACCACAAGAGACCGAGCTGAACGGCTGGCCAGGATGAAGGGCGAAATCGTTGTCATAACCAAAACTTCGTATCCTGAAATGCCCATGTACCAAAGCGGGAAGTCTGATATTGAGTTAGGCTCACAAAGGTCTCAATCCACAATCCGATTGACTTACACCACACTACAAGTCCCAGACTAGTCAGAATAGTCCAGAAAACGTACTAAGATGGGTCAGCAAATTGTCGTTCCCGCCCAACACAGTAAAGCTTACTCCATGATAGATTTCAGCTGCAATATCGAGTGCCTCGGGCCAGCTGAAGCGAACAGCAAAAATACCGCCTGTTGCTTTTTCTTTTCTAAGGACTTGGTTAATGACAATACGCCCCTCGCGCTAATTGTGTACTTACTCCTTTTCCAGGACGGCAGATGGGACGGACGATAGGTTCTCACTGCAAAAGACTTAGACAATGGCCTGCAAACATGTATATTTCGCAAACGGCTGTTCTGGAAACCAAAGACTATCTGGGAAGCCATTGAACGTACCCCTGGCTCGCACCCTTGATATCTCTAACCTCAATATCAAAGGTGCTGAAATCGAGAGCCGTCACGGCGTCGAAGGCTACATCGAAGATGATCAAAGACCACTCGAAGAAGGCGTAAGTCGTGTAAGCTGGTTTATAGTGTTAGTGGGTCACATGTCAATGGCGTTGAACCTTTGTCTTACCTCCAGCGACACGATGCACCTTGTGCTGAATGAAGAAATAGATCAATGGCACAAGAGTGCCAAAAAAGGCAGACGCCAAGTATTTACGATATTTGATGGCCTGAGGATTGGCGGGGCTGAGTGCGATACAACCAGTCGTCCACGGAAGCGTCGCAACAATGTAGGATATCATGAGGATATCATGCCAATCGTGATCATCTGTAGATGTAATGTATGTCCAACCGCCACAGGTTAGGGTTCGAAGTAGGCCCATGACAGCGACAAACGCAGGTAGCTTTTGGCCGGGCTTTCGCGTGAGGAGATACCATAAACCGACGAGGGCAAATCGAGGACCTGGGAGCTATCAGTACGATGCGAATATGGTTCAGTTCGATCGATTATGCTGTACCGGATGTAATGGCAATGAAAATCATGAAGAACGATCGCTCGGGGTACCGATCACCAATCGTCGCTGAGACTGAGGGGAACCATTCTTGCGGATAACCGTAGAACTCATTCTGTACGATCTTGTGGTAGTGTAGGTAAACACCAATAACCAATGCACTAAAGAAAGCAGCTAGAACACCATGAATCAGCGCCTCAATCATCCAAGTTGCATCTCTGCAACGGGCGAGAATGCAACGACATACTATATGCGACAGCAGTATGCGCCCAACTGACCAAACTTCCATTGAAGCTTAGGACAACGCCTGTATCTTTGTCCTTGTATTTTGAAGCCATTTCGAAAGGAGAGAAGGACTGAAAAAACACTCTAGAATCCCATCCGGGCGATCCGGGAACCAAGAGTCAAAATCTCAGAACGAGCGACGAGAGGAAACGATCATGCAAGTGGTGAGATTCGCTCTCGGACAAGACAAACAGACCTCGGAGCTTTGACGTTACCTCCACCGCGACGTAATACTTGGAAGTGTAATTGCTAAGTGGAGACAGACTGGGGCAGGGGACACTCGGAAATCGATATTAATTTTTTGGCACTGGCCCGCGCGCTCCCGAAGCGAATCAAAGGCCAGGGACTCCAAGCGAGAAATAAACAGCCTAACATTAGACGGCGATTTCCATTTTGGCTCCCGTCGTCGCGACCAGCACGAGGCTGAAAAGGGCCCCGCTAAAAAAGTTATTGATCTGCCAGCCTTGTCGGCAAAAAAACTTCCTAAATTTGCTGCCAGCGAAACGGTACCTTTTTAAGCCATAGTAATACCTCTTGGTCGCATAAACCCAAGATGGCCGGCGTCGCTGATAAGGCGAGATTCTATCTCGAACGCGCCGTACCGCAACTGCGAGAATGGGAGGAGAAAGAAATATTTTCAAAGGTAACTGCGTTCCAACTTCACGAGAGAACATTGTCAACTAAACCATCATTTTCGTAGGATGAGATTCGCACAATCGTCCAGAAGCGCAACGACTACGAGCACAGAGTTCTCTCACCCGGGAATAAGCCATCGGATTGGTCTTCGTACGCACAATGGGAGCAGTCCCTTGAGTCACTCCGTAGCAAACGCTGCAAGCGTCTCAAAATCCGACACCTCCACTCCGCCCACGCTGGCCAGGGCCGTACTCTTGCGATTTACGAGCGAGGTGTCAACCGACATCCAGGAAGCAGTGCGCTGTGGAGAGAATATCTTTCATACACGTCGAGCGTCAAAGCATCCAAGCGCTGGCGCAAAACCATGACCAACGCTCTACGCATGATGCCCACAGACCCTGAGCTGTGGGCAATGGCAGGTCGAAGGTCAGCGAAGAACGGCGACATGGCTGCCGCGCGTGGGTTTTTCATGCGAGGTTGCCGCTTCTGCACAACGAACGAAAAGCTCTGGGTCGAATATGCGCGAAGCGAGATGGAATGGCTTGAGAAGGTCGATAAGCGCAAGGCAGTCGCAAAGCCCGGCCAGGATGTTCTCCGGCCAGATCGCGAGGAAGATGGAGACGAACTGCGACTTATGGATAGTGATGATGATGAGGACGATGATGATCTTCCCGAGCCTTCCAACGCGCAGGCTAAGGTTATTGACAAGCAGACGGCTCAACATTTGAAATCAAACCCTGCCATGGATGGCGCTATCCCTATGGCTATCTTCGATATCTCAAAGAAGCAGGCCTTCTTTAGCGCCAACACTGCGGAGACATTCTTTGACCTCTTCGCGTCTTTCACACATGTCCCAGCTCAGCCTAGGATTTCACAGCATGTTCTGGATGTCCTTGATCAGGAGTACCCCAACCACCCAGCCACATGCAATGTCCACATTCGCCAACCTATCATGGGTGTGAACCCACAGACTGCAGAGTTCCCTAAGAACCTTAGAGAGGTACTGTCACGGTTGAACCAGTACTTAGAAATCACAACAGATCGCGCGGAATTACAGAAGAAGACTGTCGCATGGATAGATAGATATCTTGCGCTGGATCTTTTGGACGAGGGTATTCGGGCAGTACTGGAACATACCAAGAAGAAGTTGGAGTCTATTTAAATGGGCATGAAGATGGAGCGAAATATCATTTTCAATTTTCCTTTAAATGCTATGGTCAAGATTTGAGGGTGCTAAATTTGTACTATGTGTTTACGATAGAAATCAACATAAAATAAGCAACTCATTCCTGTTTGCATTGGCGGCAAATCTTAGTCGTGGATACTATACCGATAGTTAGAAAAAGGAGGAAAAGGCAACATTTAACAGAAACAGATATCATGACTGGGCCATAATTACTGGACGAAACCCTTTCTAACAACACAGTCCTGGGTTACAGACAGTAGATTGCATGATCAATATTTGAGATCCTCCTGCTTGATGTGAGGTTATCTTAGCAAGCTAGGGGATAGCAGAGCTTCTATAGGACTAAATCCCTAAGTGGCAAAAGTATCTAGATGGTATTAGGATAATTTACGATGAACTTAGCAGCTGTTCGACCACTTTATTTTCTCACCCCAGTCTGAGGCCTTGAGTCTGATATCCGGATGTCAGGAGAAGCTGGGGATCGCTTTGTGGTGGTTGCAAGGCCCCGGCCCGATATTAGGGTGACCCAGCATTTTGGGATCATCCCGTCAAGGAGGAAGCCGTTGTGGGGCTAGCAACTGCAGGGGAACGAACAGCTGAAGCGAGCAAGCCAAAGATATGGTAAGGTAAAGGAGACTGAGCAGCTTTCTATCGGGAAATATTTCGGTAGCAATAAGAACAGTGTATTCATTTGATATAATATCACACACCCAAAAGTGATAGGCGGGAAGCATCGCATCCACCAACAGGTATCGTTTCCTGAAGAAGGCTGCATGCCAGGCGATTGTTGGTCCTGTAAGCGACTGGAGGACTATTGATGGCATCATGCATCATGTAACCTGTATATGCACGGGGAAGCCAGAACGGCATCTGAGCCGTTTTATATGCAGGCTTCTGTACGCTGCCTAGGCTGTACCTCCTGACCATCCAGCTATGATAAGGTCCCAAGCTCCGGGCCTGATGTGATGCTTGTTCGGACGTAACCCAGAGGAATGATTGTTTCTCTTTTGGGGGGGGGTTTCTGTTTAATCCCCGGGCCTGCTTGTTTTTTATCATCAAAATGTCAATTTGGGCCTGTTTTATTAATTATACGAGATGCGTTTCCTCCCAAGGTCTCAATATCAGGGCGTCAATGGCTCAAAGGCTAATGAACGGCAATTCCATGTCGATCATGTTGGGTAGGAGAAGGTCTTTTGCCTTTTGGAGCGAGACAGATCTGCAACCATCATCTGGTTGGTCCAGCCCTGTCCATGGATCGCTTACCCTCACGTCCACCTCCACACATGAATGATTTTGCTGACCAGCCAGCAAAAGACACTTTTCACGAGAATTAATGTAAGCAATCCGAGGCAGAATCGACATCCTGTAACCTGTAGCACAACAAACTATTTGCCACCGGCCCCGTTCTCCATCATTGTGGGGATTTCACGACAGGGGAAGAAAAGCGAGCGAGAAGCACATGGCATGGAGGGCGACTGGATAAGGCGCAGTTCACGGCTAGGAAATGAGGGGACTTGAGAAACAGATTTCAGGAGGGATTGGGAGGGGAAAAGAGGGGAAGATTAAGCCTTTTCCTCTGATAGCGAGACCGCTTCTTTGCAGTTGATACTTGGTGAAGCAAAGTCAGTTCATCCTTCAATCTTTGTGTGGCAGTCTGAGGTTAAGGACGTCCATGAGGGTAAGCCTATGGATGTGTCCGTCATCACCAGTAGAATTCAAACTTAAGAACCACGAAAGCATAATTGAAAGGTTCTCGCCAGAGCAACAATCGTTGATCGAAACTGATTATTGTTATTAGGGCCGTGGCACAAGCAGGCCCTGCCAAGTCAGTCGCCCACCTCAAAACAGCGCGTGGGTGATCTGGAATCGTACAGTACAGTGCGCGAGCGACCCCAAGTGTGAGTGGGTGGTCGGATCGTGAGTGAGAAATGAGAGGATCAGAGGTTGGAAATCGATAGGAGTCTTGGGAAAACAACAAATGGAAACGAAGTAACACGTATTCTTTCAGAGCCTAGCTCTTGGCCCGTATTGATATATCTTTTTCTAAATGAAACCTAAACAATCAGCTTCTCGTTGTTTCGCTGGTCAGACTCAATCCTTGGTCCCATCTTGAAGATGAACGGCAGACATGCGCCACTCAGGAACCACGGCTTGACCAGATAAGCGTGAGAATAAGAGTCTGAGAACAAATGAAAATAAAATACAGATTGACAATAACTTTCAATAGGAGCAACAAAATTGGAGCATATTTTTGAGCGGAGAAAATTTCGTTAATCAAAGCCCCCGAAGTGAGAGCTCAAGTGAGGTCGCAAGCCCAGGCATAGCACAGGCTGGCCGTTGGCAGTACGGAGAAAGGCAAGGCGAGGTAAGGTAAGGTATTTCACATAACTACCCCCCTTCCCCCGTTCCTTCTTGCTGCCCATTTCCCGCCTGGTTTCCCCTCTCAAACCTTTTGTGCTTCTTCTTCTTGACTGCTTCACTTTTGAAACCTCTCTTTGCGACGTGTGTTGCTGCCGTGCGCACGCCTGTCTTTTGACCTGCTCACTTATACAGACGCGGAGCCATCTCCAAATTGTCGGGTGGTTTTCAGGGCACCCCAAGCCGCTGGGCTGGGTTGTAAGTGGGATGGCAGTTCACTCGATAGCAAAATTCATTTTCGACACGACACGCTCACAAAACCAGAGAAAACCAGCATGATCTGACCAAACAAATGACAAACGAAGGGATTTCACGACAAAATTGCGACAGCCTTCACCGGCTCCTCGAAGACAGCCCAGAACGAACTTGAGACGGTGCTGGCTGTCCTGGCCATGACGACCTGCCTGACAAGGATCCATCCACTGGCATCCACTCGGGAAGCGCCAGTGGTGGGTGGACAGCCCGCATCAGGCGCCACCGCAGACAATCCCCGGACTCAAAGCCGACAGCTCTGAGTCTGCGCCTCTTTCAATTTGAAACAAGAAAAGACAAGCTCATGTTTCTTTGGCCTGAAAGAAAGGCTATAGGATATGCTGGCTGATGTTGGGTAAATAGCACTTGGGAAGTGGTATTGATCCAAGGGGTCTGTCCTGCTTCTGGAGGCAAATGGCCCGTTCCTCTGTATGGGTCTGCCTCACTCCACGGCCATACCGTGGAGGGTCACCCCAATGGAAAGCTATCCCAGCAGTCCCGGCCATTGCCATGGACACAGGGGCCAAAATGGCCTATGTACATCGCAGTCAGCTACCGCTATTGATTGTGGTTGACTTCGTTCTCAATGAGACAGCGCCTGCACAAGCGTGTTAAGGCAACGCTGGTCTCGAATGAATCGTTACATTGGGTATTGGTCCGAAATTGTGCGACACATCCTACATGCGCCGATTATGTCCACTGAGATACGTGGATAATACAGGAGCAGAGTGCTGCATGATTTGCACATGAGGCGTACTACTTTGACAGCACCAGCATACTCTTCGAGCTTGGACGTCAGAAAGTTTACATTTGCGACAAAGGTTTAGTGTTTTTCTGGCGCTCACACTATGAGCCTGGAAGCCTTTCGCCAACCAACCTCTTTCGATATCGACCTGTCGGTGTGTGGAAATCGAGAGTGTGGACTGAAGAAAGTAATTCAGTTGCAACAAAACGGTCAGACCGGAGACAGGATAATGGGAAAACTCTTGTCCCAGCGTTTCCAGGCCAGCTTCAATGTCGCCAGAAGTCAGTTCGCCATGTAGTCATGGTCTGAGCTTTATCAGTGACCGGCAGAAGCAGTATCCATGGAGCCATGGGTCACATTTGATCAAAAGCTTTTGATGGACGCACTCGTTGTCACATGCAACACCACCAGGAATGCCGCTTCCCAGTTTTAGATGGGAAAATGGGATAGGAGTATGATAACAGGCTCGGGCCCGCTGTTAGAAACTGCTGTCACTTGCTATGATAATCTTATCTGATACCGAGCTAGCTTTACTTCCCTACTAACCCTAACATCTGATTCGTCTAGGTACGCTCAAGTGGCTGACTTCGAAATGACGCTATACCAGGAACAGTTAGGCACCGCGCACCGCAAAACAGGCTCAGCCTCCCCCCGACTCTCAGAGATGTCTTCGCCGTTCGCTGAAACCCAGGCCAATCCATTCAGACCCGATCCGACTCGACGAGCATCCATCGCAGTTTATCGCGAAGTCACTGCAAACGCGCTCTCATTCTTTGGTTTAGGTAAGGCTGTCATCTTTCTATTGACTCTCAGCACCGTTTCATGCATGGAATTTCCCCTACAGTGGACGATGGAATGCGATACATAGAGTTGTACGCTGTCGCTTCTCCTCGCTTCGCTTCACTTTTGCCTGCCCATCCACATCCACTATTTCTCTTGTCTCCCCTTCCCCGTTGGTCACTCAACGAGCGACTGGTTTCATTGGCTGGTCGATGTTGCCTGCGCTTGGTTCGGTCTCAGTGCTGCGCGTCCGTGTCTCTCCCGAGCACCGCCCAGCCCATCGCCCTGGTGCTGCTGCTGACGGAGACCCGCGAAAAAATTCTCCCTCACTGGCTGGCTCAGCCCGGCCATCACCCTGCTCTCCACTGTTGGCGGCGTCGCTTGCTGAGTTGCCTGCTGAAAAGGTGGCTGCTACAGTGCTGTCCGTTGTTCGCTGCCCGTCCCGTTTGCTCTCTTGCTTCCGTCGCGCGGCTTTCGCTTTCTCCCTCTACCTTTCCATCCATTCTCACCCGACCCGTCATTCCCATCTATCATCTGCCACTTGATTGAAGCGCGTCGCCCTGCACCGACCACCGTGCCAACCAATCCAATCTGGGCGTTTTTTTATTTCCCACTTTCTTGTCCCCTTTGCCTAAGCCCATTCCCAGTACTGGCAGGCTGACACAAGGTCTTCTCGCTGGTCTGGTTCTGGTTCGGTCTGGTCTCTCGCACTACACTGCTCTCCACCAAACTCACGCCGCGACGCGACTTGTCCCATCACCACCGTGTCACTGCCTCATCTCCTACTCATCGCTTCCCATCTCAGCCTTCCGTCATTGTATCCTCGTATTCTTGGCGCTCCTCCATGGACGCTTTTCGCGTGCCTGCTGATCGCTAACTCCGTCGCGCATAGCCTGTTGGGTCGATCGCCATGAGCACCTGGATGAACGACGCCGTCCCCAACCACAATGGCAACGGCTTTCCTCACATGAACGATCCTAACGCTGCCGGTAACATGATGGATCCCTCCGCCTTCATGGCTAATCCGGGCCAATTCAATCCTGCTCAGTTTAATCAGCAAATGGGCGGCGCCATGGCTAATGGCCCTGGCTCCATGCGCAATGCTTCACCTTCTTTTCAGAATCCTGTATATCAGACCAATTCCGTTATTCCATCGAAACGGCCTCGCCCTCGTGAGGACAGTCTCGCTGGCTCTCCTAGCCAAAATCCGGGAATGCTTCCAACGTCGCGCTCTGAGACGCCGCAGCAACAGCCATTTGCTGGCGGCTTTCAACCCGGCGCGGTTCAGCAAAATCCTGGTCAATTTTCTCACCTTCAACCGAATGGTTCCGCCAATGCGAGTCCCTCCCCGATAATGAGCAACCAAATGCGACCAGGAAGTGTTCCGCAACGGGTCGCGACCGCGTCACCACACCCATTTTCTCCCAGCGGCCAGCAATTCAACCCTCAGACATCACCGATACCGTCCGAACATGGCACTCCTCAGCCGAACCCCTACATGCAAAATATGGCTCAAGGCTTCAACCCGAACTTTGCTCCATCTCCGTCGAACGCGCGACCTTCACCAAATCCGAATGCGATGGCCGGTAACCAAATGATGGCGCAGCAGATGGGTCAAATGCCGCAACATATGGGCCAAATGCAAGGCAACATGTTTCCCCCTCAAATGCAGCAGGCTCAACAACAAGGCACACCACAGCAGCAAGGCCAGCAGCAACAGGGGCAACAAACCCCTCAACGCCCGGGTATGATTGACGCGCAGAAGATGGCCGCCTATCAGATGAGACTGCAACAACAACTACAAGGCAATACTCAAATCCAAGCACAGATGCAGGCGCAAAACATGGGCCGCGGTATGATGCCTAATAAGCAAGTACCTGGAATGCCCAACGGCCAGATGCAACAAGGAGGCATGAGGCCTCAGCAGAGGATGATGGCTAACGTGAATCCTGAACAATTTATGAAGAATCTTACGACACTAATGAACTCAAAAGGCTTGCAATTGGATCCTAATCCAATGGTGATGGACCGACCAGTTAATCTCATGGTGTTGTTTCAAGCGGTTCAGAATAAGGGAGGATACAAGCAAGCTACTACGACCCCTAACGGCTGGCCCCATGTTGCTCAGATGCTTGGCTTGCCACCTCAGAATCCTATTGTTCCGCAGACGCTGAAGACGATCTATGAACGCAACCTTTATAAGTTCGAGGAAGTGTGGATCGCTCAACAGCAGAAGCAAAGGATGATGCAACAGCAACAACAGCAATCACAGCAGCAGTCTCAACAGCAGTCTCAACAGCAACCACAACAGCCACAAACCCCGGGTACACTCATGGGACAAGCTACGCCACAGAAGCAGATGCAACCTGGACAACAAATGACCCCTGGGGCTATGGGTCAACCCGGGCAGCAAGCACAAATGCACCAAACTCCCATGAAGCAAATGCAGCCAGGACAGCCTCCAGTTAACGGATTTTCCACGCCACAACCTCAGATGCAGCCACAGCCTCCGGTGATGCCAGGCCAGAATCGCACTTTATCGCAATCGATTGACGCTTCTGCTTTGCCAGAGTTCCCGAGTGCCCCTTCTCCAGCAACCCGCAGGGCTGGAAGTATGTCGCAAAATGAAGGACGTCAGGCCTCAGCAGCACCTACGGTTGTGGAGAAAATGCCTCGGCTAGCACCTCAAACCGACGAGTACAGTCCTTGTGCTCGGGAGCTATCAACATTTGGTGGTGTCGACTTGAATGCGTTTAGCAAACTTGGTGCGGAACTTGAACGCTGGAAACCCGACGTACCTCCCCTTCAGGAACTGGGGAACATCGATATCGGTGCTCTTACTAAGAGTTTGCAGAGTGGGATTCATGGCGAGACACGCTTAGCCCTCGACGTGTTAGCAGCTGCATCGTGCTCCATGAATCAATTGCACTTTATTCAGCTCCGGTATTGCGACGAGCTAATAGAGGCTCTCATCGAATGTGCCGAGGATCAAGTGGAGATGCTAGCTGAGCATACGGCTGAAGTCTCCGATGAGATCCAAATATCACCATACGAAGACGTCTTGAGGGCTTGCCGTCTTGAACGGTTCAATATTCGAGATCTGCCTGTATTTGGCACTCAAGAATATGAGCTCGACCGGGCCGTCGACCGTCTAATATGTGTTACAACTATTCTCCGAAACTTGTCGTTCCCTGGCGAACAGAATGACAATCATTCTGTGCTTGCGGATGAGATTGTCATCAAATTTGTCTGTGTTGTTATAAGATACCTCGGTACTCGAACGATGCTTCTTCGATCACACAACAACACTCTCGATTTCATGAAAGATGTGGTGATTTTACTCTCTAATATCGCAGGGTCCGTAGAGATTCCTGGACGCGAACAGGCTCTCTGTCTCTTGCAGTTTCTCCTGGCATTTGCCCCGGCACCCAACCCTACAGTCTCAGATGGAATCTTATTCTTTACGCAATACGAACCAAGCTTGCACGCCTACCTGCCACATGCTGTCGATGCACTTGCGAAGCTACTAGCTCGTGATGAACCCAATCGGAGTCATTACAAGGCTGTCTTCGCACTGGACTCGAACAGCAGCCCCCCTTATGAATTGCTTACTCGTGCCTTCGGCTTGGCTATAGCACCCATTCCGGATAAGGCCAAGACACAGACACGACAACCTAATCTCCCCTCGCTGGTGGAAGTTCGAAAGCCTTTCTTGATGCAAGGGCTTCTTTCTGCTGAAATCTTGGCATCACTTGCTCCAGGTCATGACAGCGGAGTAGCCCAGTCTTGGCTATCGTCTGGCAATGATTTCGCTCAAAATCTATTCAGGCTCATCCGGGAGCTCAGCCAACTGTATGAGCAACCGCAAGTTCAAGGTCCTCGAACAGCACCACGAAAAGACCCCGAGCTGGTGTATATTGTTGTCGTTGCTGTTGCTCTATTGAGACGACTTGCTGAGAAGGCCAGAGATCCCAACGACCCAACGTCATCCATACCCGCCAAAGCTATGCCAGCACCTCATGCTTTGCTCGAAGCATTGTCAATGCAATCTGCTGAATGGTCAAAGGATGAAGTATTGCAAAAACTTTCAACCTTTTTTGCTCTTGGGAGGTGATATAGTCACATTGGGATTTTCTTTTTTTTGGATCAAATTCTACAGCATTACCCCATCTTCAAGCTTGTATGTTAGTGTTTTGAGAAACATGGGATTGGTGTCTTGTCATTTGAAGCGTGCGCTTCTCGTTTAGACTTGCATTCTGGAGTCGATGGTTTGGGGACAAGACAGGTGATGATGAAACTGCTTGTCTATGTACAGGTGTATAAAGGAAGTTGGAATGGTGAACAAATTAAGACATTAGGGACAAACAAAAATATGCTTCTATGGATGCGCTTGCATTACTACATGTATTGTACATCTTGTGTCGCCCCCGATGGTGACTGGTCAATATGATACAGTTTTGATTCCCCCCTTTGTGTTTCGTCAAGAATAAGACCTGGCAAATATCTATATACACCACTTCAGAAGCCGGTCTTCAGGATCCACTCAACTGTCTTATCGTAGACATGACCCTGGAATAATTAGTTGACTGTCGAGAGCTCCATTGTTGGAACTGCATACCTTGATCTCCACATGTTGTGTTGTAGGATTTAATCGAATATCCACTGGTTTAATCTCTAAATCCCTAGCCAAGTCACTGATAAACTTGGAGCGGTCTCCATCAATCTTCTTAATGATAACGATCATGCGGTTGCCACCAGACATCCACTTGCGGTATACAGGTAGTTGGGAGGATGGCGTCCGTCGAACAACATAGCCAAGGGTGGCGCCAAGTTTCTCGGGACTTTTTGACGATGGCAGAGGGACGAATGGCTGCTTGAGTGGACGATCCTTATATGGAATCTTGTTCTTCCTGTTGGGGTTGACGGGCTGTCGGATAGGGTTGGGCTTGTAGGAGACGTGTGTTTTGAAGGTGTTTGTTGAAGATGTGGCGGCCGCGGAGTAAGACGCTCGTTTTGTGAAGATTGCTGGCTTCTGGGCAATGGCCTGGCGTCCTATTGACAGGACTCGAGAGGCAAGGAAATGCATCGTGTGATCGGATATTGGAGAGAAATTGGAGGGTAGATTTGTTTTCGGCCGCAAGGTTCTTTGTTTTGGCGATAATACGCAATGGAAGATCCGCAAGAGAAATGCAACACAATACCCAAAGATATAGCCTCAATTGATCTCGCTCATTAGCTCTTGGACATCCCGCACTCTGCCTGTCGGTGCATTCTAAACGTACCAGAAGCTTGCCGCTGATGGAAAATCTCAAGATCACATGACTGGCAATCTCTAATCGTCGGTAAAGCCTCGGTCGGAGCGATAAGCTGAAACCCCACACCACCGAGTGGATTGGCGAAATTCACCAAAAATCTGAGGTGTTCGTGCCCCTCCATCAAACCCATCATCACGACCTTTGCGGCGAGTCACCTTTCTGCTCTGCCCGACCGAACCCTCGCCCGACCGATTTTTACCGACTCCCTCTTCTCAAAATTATCACCCAAGATGGAGGACGTTCTCAACGCCGTCTCGGCCGACGGCTCGTCGATCATGCCCCGCCTTGCGCCGCACCTGAGCCGACATCTTCTTTTTCCTCTGATCCAGTTCGAGAGTGAGAGAGCTGAGGAGCAAGGCCAGGATGCCAAGGCAAAGGAGATTCTCTCCGGAAAGATTAAGCTCCTCGAGGACACAAACATGACCGATTACGTTGCGACTCTCTACTGCGAGCTCCACGGTGTATCAGAGGCCCCCGAGCAGTACAACAAGAAGAGACAGGAGGTGCTTTCACAGCTGGAGAACTACGAGCAAGCCACCGCCAAGATCGCCGATCTCCTGACCCAGGACGAGGTCGTCAACGGACTCCGAAGTGACAAGGTTGCCAACTTGGAGTTTCTCAAGAACCAGCACGGAGTAAGTGACCCGAGAGCTCTTTAGTCGCCAAGGTCAAAAGATATCTAACAGGATTGTCACCAGGTCACCATGGAAATGGTCAACGCCCTCTTCGACTTCGGTCAGTTTCAGTTCCGATGCGGACAGTACGGTCCCGCTGCCGATATGCTCTACCAATTCCGAGTCCTGTCCACCGATAACGACAAGGTCTCTGCTGCCACCTGGGGCAAGCTTGCTTCCGAGATCCTCCAGACCAACTGGGAGTCTGCTGTCGACGAGCTCAAGAACGTTAGGGAAAACATTGACTCCAAGCTCTTCAACAACCCCCGTGCCCAACTCGACCACCGAACGATGTTGCTCCACTGGTCTCTTTTCCCCCTCTTCAACTGGGAGGGTGCTCGGGAACCTATCCTGGACATGTTCTTCTCCGCTCCTTACATCAACACCATCCAGACCTCTTGCCCCTGGATCCTGCGATATCTGATCGCCGCCGTTATCACCGGCCGTGGCCGTGCTCGCAACAGCTCCATCCAACAAAAGCAGATCAAGGACATCATCCGTTATGTCCGACAAGAGGCTTATGAGTACACCGACCCTATCACACAGTTCGTCAACGCCCTCTACATCGCCCACGACTTCGAGGCTGCCCGTGAGGCCCTCTCCATGGCCGCCGAGGTCTGCCGAAGCGACTTCTTCCTTGCGTCTTCCGCCGATGCCTTTGTCGATGCTGCCCGACACCTCATTTGTGAGAGCTACTGCAAGATCTTCAGCCGAATGAACATCCGCGACCTTAGCGCCAAGCTTGGCCTGAACCCTGACGATGGTGAGAAGTGGATTGTCAACCTGATCCGGGAGACTCGATTGGACGCCAAGATCGACAGCCAAGATGGTACCGTGGTGATGAACCACCCTCCTAACAACGTCTACCAGCAAGTCATTGAGAAGACCAAGGGTGGTTTCTTCAGGACACAAGTCCTCAACGCTGCTGTTTCAAAGTAGAGAGTATAGCTAGTTGACAATGATCTTTTTATATGAGTGCTTTTTTTTTGTTGCAACGGCTCAAAAGGGGCGACGCAATCCAAAGCGAGGGGCAAGATCCCTCGACCAGAGGATGGCGCCCTCCGCTGCTCGCCAGGAGGAACAAGATACGGCCTCCTTAGTTTAGAAGGAGGCTGATCTTTGCAGAGGATGAGCAGGATATGGCAAAGCATAAGGCGGGGAGACAATGATAGAGCAGCGAGGCAAATTTGAAAAACACGGGCCAAATGGAAGAAGCGGCGGTTTTAGAGGCCCTGTATATCCCCGGTGATGCGGTTTGCATTGCATGGCGTTCTCGGAAAAGGGAAGAGGCACGGGGGATAATGGAATTTACGTTGATTGTTGAAATGAAAGCAAGTACTCCCCTCAGTTGGGACGTACTATTTCTGTGAAGCCTCTCAAACGTTCTGAAAGCCATGAAGCTCTCTTTATTACAAGCTAGATTTTTGTCTATCATTATTCTCGTAGCTCATAACCACATTGAATGTTTTCCTCTACAATGCCCTATTCACATTAAACACCTTCTTAACTATACTGATTCAAAAAATGTGCGTGCTGCCTCACTACAGCCAGTTGTCAATGCTCACCTTCACGACTGGCGAGCCACACCATGCCTTTGAGGTTCTCTATAACACTGTCTCGCATCCACCAAACACCCCCATCCTCTACTGTAGCATCTTGACCATCTTCCCCTTCCACTTCAAGACGTACGCGCGACTCTGTGATAGTTTCTTGACTGTCGAACATGTTGCTACCTCGCAGTCGATCACGCACAGAAGCCCATTCGAACAGCAACCTGGCTCCCTCCAGACGCTCCCGATCTGTACCTTCTGCAATGCCCTTTGCCATCTCCAGCCTGGCATCAACAGCACTGCCTGAGTGCTGAGTGTCATCGCCTCGCTCGAGCACCACGGCTCGCTCGGCGTAACTGACACCACGCAGACCCTCAAGTCCAAAGACCCATTCCAGAGGATCTTTACCCTTCTCATCACTACCAAGTGCCCGAAGGGTTGAAGCAAACGCTCCTTCGCGCGGTGGGCGCCTGCGGAGGTACAGACTCTGGGTGTCTTGGAAAGCAGCTCTAACCTCTGGGTTGGAGAAGTCAAGCTCCACATCCCAGAACTGAGGTCCACATGTGGTTGATAGACTAGCAATCTGGTCGATCGGTGGGAGGATACAAGGAGCCGTGCGATTCAAAACCGGCTCAGTAGAGGTATTCTTGCGCATCTTGATTTGGACAGGAACAGTGATCGGTTGGCCAGTGAGAACATCTTTGGGGACCAGACACCGCTGCTCTGTAGCTAGAACCCAGAAATGGCGGAGAGCTTGGAGATGGGATCGATTGTCCATAACACTCGTAGGGAAAATGGGGTAAAATGCAACTAATAGAGAAGCAATAGCAAGGTTGCTAGTGCCAAAAGTTGCCGTTCCGCATCCCAAGAACAAAGCGCCGATCGCAAGATGAGCCGCAAGATGAGAGCCATAGGGGGTTTCAGGATCATCGCGACCATGAAGTGCACGAAGACGACGTAGAACAGGAACATCACCTGTTCCGGCCATGACAATGGATGCAGATATGGCAACAATGTCTTGACACATGCGTGCGTTGGTTCGTGTTAGTTCTTCATCATATGGTGGAGTACCATTTGGATGCATGCTTGCAGTAGACGGTATCTGTGCAATACGCATGAATTGATCCAGATAATAAAGTAGAAGATCCCGAACTTTAGGGGATGCGCTGCCAGAGAAGCGCAGTGCAATAGAAAAGCAGAGACCAGCCACTATGCTGTGGAATGCCATATCAGTTGACTGCAGTCTTGTCGTTGACTGTAGCTTGAACTGAGAACGATAGGGACGTGGTAGGTTCTTACGAATCCAAGCAAACGTTGGCTCAATCTTAGACCACATGATCAGATTCTTCGTCAAGGTCCGCAAGAGAAGGATATCGGGACGGATGTAGTCAAACTGCAAGACTGAGTCGGGTATGTCGATCTTACGCGCCACGATCTGATCTTCTGACTTCATGTATATAAGAGCCAGGGCCATGACAGCTCCAGCAGCTGCTCGATCCAGAATATGAACTATTTCAATGTTCTTAGTTGTTGTAGCATGAGAAATGAGTTTCTCTGTGAGTCTCATGTCATGCAATCCCTTGAGATCATTGCCTTTGCCCAAGTTGATGAATCCAAGAGCAAATCCAGCTGCCAGTCGGTAGCATTCGCTTCTCAAGGGCTCTTCTTCGTCCTCTTCGTCAATATGCTCAATCTCAGAGAGCATAATTTCACTCATTCGCCGATGCTGACTGTTGGCATATAGCAAACCGATGCCCATTATACCCGAAGTCTGCGTTAGAGGGGACAGGTTCAGTTCTGCTGCTCCACGAGGCAACATCCTTGTGGCATGGACGGAAAGTAGACGAGTAATCAGCGAATCCATTGTGCCCATATAAGATGCTGCCAGACCCAGAAGCAACCCGATGGATGTCATTGTATGCTTTGGTGTCAGATACTTGAACGCAACCCATTTTGCTACGTCTTTCAAATGGCCGTTCAGGCCAAGAGCTAGCAGGAAGCCAGCATGTCGATTGTTGAGATCTTGGCCAGGTTTGTTGTAAAGAATCCATGATGTGTCGATACCTTGAGCCTGGGGAGAAATGGCTAAACCAGCTGCGACGCCCTGGTGAAAGAAGCCCCAGCAAACCTTCTCTTCTGAGAACTGTGACTTGTCTACCCCGACCGTGGTATTTGTTGGCTTTACAATGCAATTGAGGTTAAATCCACCAATATGGAATTTCTGCGTGATCAAAGGGTAGCGAAGACTGTAGTATAGCAAAGCCCGACCAGCAGGAATTGCTAAGGTGCCTGTTGCAATTCTTGTTACGAGCTCCTTTTGCTTCTCAAGATATTCGCTCTCTGGCCAGCTTGGGTGGGGATCAAGTCGAACCAGTCTTGCCTTATGGGTAGAAAGTAAATCTTGAGCTTCATTAAGGCGGCGATCTTCTTTGAACAAGGAGCGAATAATGGCTTGACGTTCCGTTCCTTCACCTTCATCATAGCCGATATTGTTTGAATCATCGACACTCTGGCAAAGCAATTTGTAGTCCCAAGTTGCATTGTGTGTCGGTGTCTATTGCTTGTCAGTGATAATCCGTGAAGACATGTTTTTGATCTTACCAGAATCTTGGAAGCGCTTGGCTTAGGCTGCTTTCCAGAGGTGAGAATGAGACTGATATCCCGGCGGTCAACTAATTCAAGGAGATCCTTTGACCAGGAGGTTGGAGGGTGCGGTTGGCACAATGAAATGGCATCACGTAGAGGT